TGTCAAATCATTGTGAGGCTTGTGGTCAGCCATCTCACATTCATATATCATATATCAAATGCTAAAAACTAGTTACCTGCTGCATAACATTGTCTCCATCATATCTGATATATGATGTGGTGTTTTTCTAATCATGAACTATGCCTTCCCTTTTCCATACTTTTCTCTTGCAATCATTAAGGTTCATCTTGGTTTCATCTTTCCAAAGATGTTTTTTTTTTTTGGACAGGCCCTTGTAGATGCTTCCTTTCAAAGTGTAATCTGCGTTGTTGTACACCATCTAAATTTGAATTCAAGAAGTTGCTCACAACTTAGTGTTCCATGTTTTGTGGTTTTTCAGGCCGTTGGTGTCGCTGAGCTGCTCAATTTTCCCATACTAATCTTACTTTTTTGCTGTCTCTGATTGCTTTATTTTGGAGGTCTTTAAGCCTAAAGAATATTTCTTCACATACATCGATATCTCTTTGGGTTTCATTTATCAAATGCAAGTTCAACACTCAATTCAAAATTCAACAACCAATTTCAATTTTTTTTCTCTAATTTGGTCAAGACACTAACCCTAAATTGCTCTCCGATGCGTTCATTGGAGTATAAATGTGTATGAATTGTAGTTAGGAAGCACTAAGAAACTTAGAAGACAGTGCTTGTGTGAATGGGTGTGATTGGGTGAATGTGGCATGTTGTATAGAGCTCTTTGAGTACTCTGGGAGAGTTGAAAAGCGCTATATAAGAATTAATCCATAAGTGTACGTAGGGCAGAGAGAGACTCCTACATAATGAAACTAATCTATTTAAAAAAAATATTGGCCACTTGGATAGTGGGAGTAGTGTAGTATTTTTACCGTTCATCTTCTGTGTTCAACAGAACAAGTTCTTTGTGAGAGTGTGATTGTCTCTGAAACATAGACTGAAGTTATTGTCAAAATAGACATTTTGACATTTTTTGGTTTTCAAATAGCTCATAATGTTGTAATTGTGTTGCCTTATACTAAAGGCAAATGCTGCTATTTTAACTTTCCTTCACCCGTATAAATTTCCCTCAAACAAGTGAAATCTGATCTGTACAGTACAGACCAGAACAGAAATAATTAGCCTCGTTTCCTTTTTCCCCCTTTTATAAATTCCCTTATAGATTTCCTGTTTACTCTAGGGTATTGTTTTGACAAAACCTTTTAGTGCACTGAATGGTCAGATTAAAAAAAAATGTATGAAATGCTAAAAAAACAAGAGAATTGGAGATTTTTTCTAGTTGGGGAATGGTATAATTACTGTATATGAGCATGTGTAGACTATAGAGTCGAGAGGAAATGTAAGAATGGGAGATGAGATGCAAAAGTTCAAATGCGGTCGTTGTGGTTACTTGTTTAAGATAGACTGTAACAATGCCACTGGGTTATTTTCACAGTGTCACATCAGGGTAAACACAGCTTCAATTTACAATAGTACAGCAAATGTACATTAGCAGAGTGAAAGTTGTTGTGAAAAACTACCAGTAAAACAAATCATACTACAGTTGGATACAAGTGTACTAGTTACCTCAGCTCTGTAATAAGGACACTGCAATGACTTTGTTATTGTGTTATGTGCTCTGGAGCTACAGCTGTGTCTACATTTCTTGGACTCAAGAACTCTTCTATTAGTATCAGAGTGGTGCCAATGCCAATAGTGATGATCAAATGTGATATAAGCAGCAACCTTAAACTGGAAAAGTGTTTCTCATGATGTTTGTGTTGATAATAGTTAAGCAATTTCTGTGACAAATAACAAATATGACAAAAAATGACTTATTGAATTATAAAACAAAAATTCAAAACATGTTTTATTAAATTTAAGATTCTTATAAGAGCCGGTAACTTCTCTAAAACAGGTTGTCTTATTTTGAGCCTGATGAAGGTTCTGCAGTGACTTTAAGCTGGTTGCCCACATTGCAGCACAGCAGGCAGCAGAGACTGTTGAAGGCCACGATCACAGGAAGTTTAAAACTCTACCATCTGTATACGAAGCTACACTCAGTGGTTGCAAAGACTTGTATTGCAGCACTGTGAACTCCTGATAAACTATTCTTCACCATAAGTGGTTTTACTTGAGCAATAATATATGTCCACCCAGATGACCTCTTTTCTAATGTCCACAGATGTCCTGAGGTTACACAACCAAAACAAATTAAATCTGTTATTTCACTTTTTTCTTGTTCTTACATAGAAAAAGAGAAAAATGTTTTACTTGTATAATACAAGTACTATTGTTTTTCTTGTGACATTACCAATAAGTTTGATGTGTCACATGGCCCTCTTCCTATTAAAAAAACAAAAGTTGTATCCAAGATGGCCGACTTCTAAATGGCCACCATGGTCACCACACATATACTAATGTGCCACAAACACGACTTTAATATCACCAACCATTCCCATGTTATTACGGTGTATCCATATAAATGGCCCACCCTGGACATCGGGATATGCCAAACAAAAATCACATCTAGCGCACATAGGGCTGGAGAACAACAGGAAAACAGAAAAACAAAACAACTAGACCTAGTCCTTGTTTAGTCGTTTGAAAATTTATTTTAAACTTTGCACAATTTCTGATTGTCCCTCAACATAATATTTTCTTCATATCTGTGATGTGTTTCATTGCAACTAAATTAGTACATTTTCATTTTTTTCAAACTTGCACACCACACAGTTTAAAAAAAAAGAGTCAGCTAGACATTTTTGGAAATGGCTGATACTGGCAGAAATGACTGTAGCCAGAACTATAGTGAGGATGTACACAACGTACTTATCAGCCCTGAAGACTAGTTAAGTGAAATGTTTCATTCTGGCCTGAAAAGATAAGTTTTTGAAATAATCCTCTTGTTGTTAGTGGACAGTTTTACAGACACGTTAAAAAAATGGTCAGGCCTGTAGTACACTAGATAAAGACTGAGGTATAGAGTATCTGAATTCCATTGATAGCTTGGATACTTGGCTTTAGGATGACAGCTGGCCGCTGTCACTTTGCAGAGGAAGTCTGGCTTTGACTAACAGGAAGTCAAGTTAGCCACACATTTTTTTTCTTGTAAGAACCAAGTCATGTTTTCTGGAAAGAGGCATTAATTCAGAGTTATTGCAAAGATATATTTTAAGCACTAAAAGGAGAAAGTACCTTCAACGGCATAACTAATTTTATACTTTAAAAGCCCAAACTTGGAATCCCTTTTGCAACAGCTGGACATTTTTTATATCTGTACCATTAAAGAATTGTGTTTTCATTTGTGATATTGTTTTACAGTGTTTTTAGAGTACACTAAGACCTTTACTGTGCTATTTCTCATTTTTAGCAACTGCAGTAATTACTGTTGTGACCTCGCACTTCCTCTTTCAGTCAGGGTGGAGTGGGAAGCATTTACTGTACAATTTCTGAAGTCTGTAGACTTGCAATGTTTTTAAACAAGATTATCTTTCAGATTTCGAGCTGGTGTTAAATAAACAGGAAGATTTGAATGTTGAAGTAGCTTTTGCTCGATAATGGTCTTTGAGCATTTAGAGCTTTAAAGTTTCTACATTGAATAATATTGAGGACTAACACTGACTAAACGTGAACATTGTAACTTTGAAACTTGAAGGACTAGGATGAGCTTTAGATTAGTAAGCTTTGTCAACAAACTGACCCAATACTCACTGCAGACTTCCAGCTAAGTCACTGCTGGGCATGTGTGGATGTTAGAGATGCCCATATATGGCGTTGAATGTCTTTTAAAAACAGGAAATGACATGTAGACAGCTGATTAGGAACTTGAAAGAATGCTGTCATTCCACAGCAGAGGAAGAGGAGTGGGTTCATTTCTAGAGATGAACCCACTCACTTGACCGACAGCTGCACTCCTCCTCCAATGCATGCACGCACACACACACACACACACACCTAAAATAGCTATTAATAACATGTAAAAATCTTTTACATCAGAAGAAATTATTCATATCATACAATAACTGTCTGCAATGCAACACATCTGTCTAGCAAAGAGTAATCTGTTCTCTCATGTTAAGTTTACTTTAACCCTGCACTCACGCTCACGTAAATACCACACCAATTTATTGCAGCGTCCACTACAACTTGCGCTGTTCTGCTGAGCCACTTTGATGTACTCTGATATTTGCTAGTCTGTTTCAGTGCATGTAGTACTGCTGATTATATTTAAAATTTAAATTCTGTTTTTGCTTGTTGATTTTCATATGATTATATTTCAAATATTTCTTTCTATATATTGTTTACATTTATGCTTGTTTTACTGTATTTATCAGATTAGTTTATACTTCAGCTGTATTTAACAATTTTTAACTGACGTAATGGAGGATGTCCCAACTCTTATTTTTCTTGCCTTGTCTTGTCCTGTCTTATTTTGCAAAGCACGCCACACCTTGCCACACTTCACCAAACAGAAACACACCAGTTATGTGGACCTTCTCACTAGTTACACGCTTAATTCTGACATTAATTTCACTAAAATGGATTAAACTAATATTTTATTTTATAACATTTTTTTAAAAAGTGTCTGCAATGTTATCAAAAAACCCCCAAAGAAATCAATCTCTAATATACAAACACATTCCAATTCGCTTTGTGTATTCTTTCAGTTGAGCAGCAGTTTCTGCTTTATTGTCAGATAAAATTCTTGAACTCTACTAGATTCCATTTGTGGGATTTATTGGAACATGTATGTGTGCGAACAGGGACTGAGCACTGTCTAAAGCTTGTGTACCGTATTCACAGTTAGCTTTTGGAATAGAACATTTAAATTACATGTCATATGTTGTGTCAAAAAGTGAGTTTATCTGCAGCTTTATATTTCAAATAGGACAACATTATTATGATGTGGAATTGCAAGAGTACAAAATGCTGTGGAACTGTGTTTTGTAAGATCGTTATAATGTAAAAGCATATCATTATGTCATTGAAAATGTTGGATCAATAAAATAAAAAAAATCGTGTATCTGTTTATATTTGATTTTCCTCAGCTAGGTAGAAGAAACACAGAGCTGATCATCTGAGTGGCTGTTACAAAAAATTGGTTCAAGTCAGGTAAGTATTTTATTCATCTTCTTCATGATCATGTCAAATAGTAAAATCATAATCAGGAGCCCTAACAATGAGAAGCATATTTACATGTTAGCCATCCATCCATCTTCTTATAGCATATTTTTCTGAAGTATAGTATGAAAACATTTTCTCCAACAAAACAATCTTTTAACATATAGTGAGAAGTACTCACTGATATATGATAACAATATATGAATGCTCCAGACAGTGGCTCATCTCACTCAGCCTGTTGTCACACTGGATTTTAGTCAGAAAACAGTTTGATTGTCATTTGATTGAGCAAGTAGACAGTAGGGATGGCACCGGTAGTAACCAGACCGAAAAGCAGCGCACATTTCGGTGTTTCTTTTTCCTGAGATGTCATACACTTTGGATTCTAGCCAATCATCTTACCTTTCCGAGGATAGTAGGCTTGCCCAGGTACGTACGTTCTTTTAGAGCAGAGCTACAGATTAAAAGTGCCCAAGGCAAAGCGGTCAAAAGTCTGACTGTACTTCACAGCAAAAGATGCAAACTCAGCAGCCTGCAACAAGTGCTTCAAGGTGATACTGTGCAAAGGAGGTAACACCTCGAATCTGATGAAACACCTGGCAACGCATAGCGTTTTTTAAAAGCTGAGAAATGCACCGTATTTGGTATCGGATAAAACCTAAACGATACCCATCCCTAGCAGACAGTGGTTCCATCCCTGGGTTGTGTGAGAATAGATGAATATGACTTGTAGTAAAAAGCAGTGCTTGAGTACTCAGAGTTGTAGAGTATTATATAACCAGTACATTTGGCATTGGTTTTTTTTAATTTTATTTGTTTCTGCAGTAACCAGCATTCATGTTGCTAGCTGTACTTTTTAGGTTGAATCCCCTTTATACTACACAGGGAGCAAGATGGTGAAAGAGTGTTATCAGGATGCGAGTCTGACAGTTTTACAGTGATAGAAATAAGCTATCATTAAATTTGGAAAAAACTACATTTATGTTATTCGGAAATTGTAAAAAAGATGCAGGAGCAAAATTATTAGTAAACAATGTTGAAATAGAGCAAGTTTCGGATACAAAATTTCTGGGTGTGATAATAGATAACAAAATCTGCTGGAAACCTCACATAAAGCATATACAAGCCAAACTGTCAAGAAGCATCTCCGTACTAAGTAAAGTTAAATATTTTTTGCCTTCCAAATCACTCCGGGTACTTTATTGTTCACTTATATTGCCATATTTGGAATACTGTGTGGAAATTTGGGGAAACACATATAAAACTGCACTTCAACCAATATGTAAAATTCAAAAAAAAGCAATCAGGATGATTAATAAAGCAGGATTTAGAGACCATACTAACATCATGTTTTTGAAATTAAAAATACTGAAGTTTATGGATCTTATAAAATATAAAACTGCAAAAATTATGTACAAGGCCAGATACAATATGTTACCAGGAAATATACAGAGGATGTTCTATGACAGAGAAGGAGACTATGAATTGAGGGGGAAATTGAATCTAAGGATTCTTAAAGCACGGTCAAAGGTTAAAACCTTTTGTGTCACTATTTATGGGGTAAAACTGTGGAATAGTTTTACGATAGATCTACAGCAATGCTCAGGAATTAGTAAGTTCATGAAAATACTTCGAAAACTGATTTTGGAAGAATATGATACCGATAAAGATGATCACCCATTGTATGTATAAAAATATCAAATTATATCCAAATTATATCAGTCACGGTAGCCAAGTTTATATAGGTTCTCCTCGTGTATCGTGTGAAGTATGTGATGATGGGAATTAGGTGAATTATGTGGGATCAATAAGATGTTGAGCAGGGGTAGGAATTAATAAGTATGTTCATACTTCTTCCTACTCCTTTTCAGACCAAACATTGTTACATTATGTCAGACGATTTTGTTTTATTTCATTATATATTTTTTGTTTATCTGAACACATACGTGTGTGTGTGTGTATATCTACATATATATTCGTATCTGTAAATGAAAATATATGTAGTGTGTATATATTGTTTTTTGTTTTATATGTCTGAAACAAATAAAGATACAATACAATACAATACAATACAATAAGTAAAATGTCATTTCAAAAAAGCTGAAAAAGAAAATCCCCTACTCTTTATTTCCTTCACCTCTCATTGCTATACAACCTCAGGATCTTGCATGAAGAAATGACAAAGAATCTCTCACAATGACAAAACCACAGAGAGTTGTTTTCCAAAAAAAACATACCTTTACTGGCATTTAAACAGTTAAGAGACAATTTCTTTTTATTCAGGAACCGGAAAACTGGATTTTCAGTTAAAAACATTTTTTTATATGTGACACATGTAAAAAAAGCTAGAGGTGGTGTTTCTCACTTTAACCTCAGCTTAAGACATGGGGCTGAGAGATTAGTTTTCACTTCCTACTAATGTGAAGTTCTTTAGCGGAATGTCATGTAAAGGAGTACCAAAATAAAATATATTTATGAATATAGCAGTTCTTGTCATAGCTATGTGCAATGAGAATACCTCTGATGTAGAGAACTTCCTGCTGTGTGCTACTTGTGAGAGGAGGCAGCTTTGACATTATTTAGAGTATACAGTTACAGCTGTTCTACACTTGCAGTTAAAACCTCCTTTTAACAGGAAATAAGGTGTGTGTGTGTGTGTGTGTGTGTGTTTATCAAAAAGTCTTTTTTTTTTTTCAATAGACTTTATATGTCTTTCAGATTGAGTTGTACTATTGGTATTGTGACTGTGAATTAAATATGCTATTTCACTTTAATGGTACAGTTGACATGTTATGACTAACTACTTTATGGATCCTCATGCAGGTGTGAGTTGGGTGGAGGTGCAGAGCAGCAATCATGGTGACCCTGTCATTAAAGATTAGTGTGGGGAATGTAGTGAAAACTATGCAGTTTGAGCCCTCCACCATGGTCTACGATGCCTGTCGCATCATCAGGGAGAGAGTCCCAGAGGCACAGCTTGGCCAGCGTAAGTTCTCTTTCTTTTTTTTTACTTCTTACTTCATCAGAACTGATTGTTGGATTGTTGACATGGAGAAATTGTATGCTGCATATTGCACATAGACTGATCAGGCATGACATTGTAACCACCTGCCTAATATTGTGTCAGTCAACAGATTAGACTAGAATGGTCACATTTTGACTTTGGCAAGCTGATGTGAACCTGTTAAAACATGTTTGTTTGAAAGACTAATCCACTAATGTGATTTACATGAACAGGGGACTAGCACAAGTCCTTCTAGTCTACTGTCTGGAGATCCACAGGTATGGCAAGAAATAGAAATCCAGCGACTTAATCAGCGTTTGTGTTTCTTCTACAGCAAATGACTACGGACTGTTTTTGTCTGATGAAGATCCAAAGAAAGGCATCTGGTTGGAGGCTGGAAAGGCTCTGGACTACTACATGTTAAGGAATGGGGTAAGGAAGTATATCACACATTCAGCTATGACTAACTGTTAAATTTATGAATTAGGATGCATTTGTGATGATTTGTGAGTACTAAATACACTTTCACCAAGGGACATCACTGGTTTCTTTGCTCTAAATTAGCTGAGTCAGGTTGTTTTTGTTTAATGCTTCTGTAAAAAATGATGCTGTCTCTAGGAAGAAAAGCAGTGTGATGTGAGTATTGTGAGAAATAGCAGGATCTAGTTTAAATCTATTTCAAAGTTTCCAACAAAATATCAGCAGCTGGTCTGTTGCCTCTGTCTGACAGGACACTCTGGAATACAAGAAGAAGCAGAGGCCACTGAAGATCCGCATGTTGGATGGGACAGTGAAGACTGTAATGGTGGATGACTCCAAGATTGTCAGTGACATGCTGATGACCATATGTGCTAGAATAGGTCAGCTATAAGCCACACACAGCTCACATTTAATTTCCAGAACAAGATGTTGTGTGTTGTTACAGGTTTATTGCTTTCCCCCCCACTTACCATGAGATTCTTGTGTATATATAATGTTGTTGTAAAATGTAAAATAAATGTAGTAATTTCAATCTGTTTGTATGTCAGGTATTACAAACTATGATGAATATTCACTGGTGCGAGACATTGGTGAAGAGAAGAAGGAGGAAACCACAGGAACCCTGAAAAGAGACAAAACTCTTTTAAGAGATGACAAGAAAATGGAAAAGCTGAAGCAGAAACTCCACACAGACGATGAGTGTATGAGAAATACAAGCCTCCATTCTAATGCTCTATAACAGACTTGCTTAACCAAAGTGTGTGTCCCGGGTCACCTTCCACATCTTCTCTAGCTCCTCTCTCAGCTTCTTGTGTTCCATCTTCCTGTTGTTGCTATCGCTTGGTACACTCAACAAAAATATAAACGCAACACCTTTGTTACTGCTCCCATTCCCCCATGGGATGGACGTAGAGACCTAAAATTCATTCCAGATACACAATATAACCATCCCTCCCAAACAGTGGTTACAAATCAGTCCAAATGTGTGGTAGTGGGCACATCTGCTATATTGAGATAATCCATCCCACCTCACAGGTGTGCCACATCAGGATGCTGATCTGACATCATGAGTAGTGCACAGGTGTACCTCAGACTGCCCACAACAAAAGGCCACCCTGGAATGTGCAGTTTTTTGCGCTATTGGGGGTCTGGGGACCCAGAACCGGTCAGCATCTGGTGTGACCACCATTTGCCTCATGCAGTGCAACACATCGTCGCATGGAGTCTATCAGATTGTCAATTGTGGCCTGTGGAATGTTGGTCCACTCCACTTCAATGGCTGTGCGAGGTTGTTGGATATTCGTGGGAACTGGTACACGCTGTCGTATACGCCGGTCAAGCACATCCCGAACATGCTCAATGGGTGACATGTCCGGTGAGTATGCTGGCCATGCAAGAACTGGGACATTCTCAGCTGCCATCTGCCCTGAACAATGTGAACCATGATTCATCTGTGAAGCGCACACCTTTCCAACGTGCCAGACGCCATCGAATGTGAGCATTTGCCCACACAAGTCTGTTACGGCGATGAGCTGGAGTCAGGTCAAGACCCCGATGAGGACGACGGGCATGCAGTTGAGCATCCCTGAGACGGTTTCTGACTGTTTGTGCAGAAATTGTTTGGTTGTGCAAACCAATTGTTCCAGCAGCTGTCTGGGTGGCTGGTCTCAGACGATCTTGGAGGTGAACCTGCTGGATGTGGAGGTCCTGGGCTGGTTACACGAGGTCTGCGGTTGTGAGGCCGGTTGGATGTGCTGCCATATTCTCTGAAACGCCTGTGGAGACGGCTTATGGTTGAGAAATGAACATTCAATGCACGGGCGACAGATCTGGTTGACATTCCTGCTGTCAGCATGCCAATTGCACGCTCCCTCATTGCTTGTGGCATCTGTGGCATTTTGCTGTGAGACAAAACTGCACATTCCAGGGTGGCCTTTTGTTGTGGGCAGTCTGAGGTACACCTGTGCACTACTCATGATGTCAGATCAGCATCCTGATGTGGCACACCTGTGAGGTGGGATGGATTATCTAAATATAGCAGATGTGCCCACTACCACACATTTGGACTGATTTGTGACCACTGTTTGGGAGGGACGGTTATATTGTGTATCTGGAATGAATTTTAGGTCTCTACGTCCATCCCATGGGGAATGGGAGCAGTAACAAAGGTGTTGCGTTTATATTTTTGTTGAGTGTATTACTACCTCTATCACTACAATCTTCTTCTCTGCTTGTCCACCACTACTATCTCTGGTTAGTTAGCCATCACTATCTTGTCCGTCGGGATCTGGAAGTCCCAAGGGATAAATATTTAATAGTAAATAATTAAACTAATCTACCAAATCTTCACTGCCACATTCTTTAACTCTGTAACTCTGAAAGAAATTGGAAAGACTAGTCTTTTTTCTGTCTGGAAACACATTAGCCAATCCTTATGCTGAGCTTTATTCAAAAGAAAAAAAGACTTTAACCAATTTTTCTGAGTAAATTCAATGTCTGCTTTCCAAACGGGTATGTCTGCTTCTGAAACTCCTGTCCCATACGACGTTCATGGGAGAGGAGATTATAACAAAGTGTTCTGCTTAAATATTATGGTGTCATGAAACAGGAATGAGAAACATTTTTTCCAGAGAGTAAGCAAAGTGCTTTATCTGAATCAAAATATGGTTACAGATTACAATGAAAATATGACTGAAAAAATTCACCTTGATGCTAAAACATTTTGACTGGCTAATATATTTCTAATATTGGTCTTTATGGCATCCCGTTTGGTTTGGGCTTTCCGTAGTGAACTGGTTGGACCATGGACGGACACTGAGGGAACAGGGCGTGGAGGAGACAGAGATGTTGCTGCTGCGAAGAAAATTCTTCTACTCAGACCAAAATGTGGATTCCAGAGATCCCGTCCAGCTCAACCTGCTTTATGTGCAGGTACAGAAAAACATTGACATTGACTTTCTCATTGACATTATTATTATTATTATTATTATTATTATTATTATTATTATTATTATTATTAATAATAATAATAATAATAATAATAATAATAATAATTTATTTTTCTCCTGTTGTCTTGGATAGACATTATGCAGTCTTGAGCCACCCCTCATTTCCTAATATTTTGTTCCAAGGAGCCAGATTTTCTTTTTCTTTGGCTATTGGCTGCCTTTGAACTCATTTTGTGTTGTTTGATGAGCCACTTAATATTTATCTATTAATCATTTAAGCATAAAAAAGGCACCTAATTCAAGGGATGAATCTGTGTTGTGTCAACTTTGCAAAGAACCCATTTTAAATTGTTTTTAGGAACTTTGCTACTGGCAGCTCATCACAAAAACACAGAATTTACTCCTGTTATTTTAGTTGAATCTATAAAAAACACCAAAGGTAACACAGATTGACAGGAATAAAATAATAGACAAACAAGTAGATTCCTGAAGAGTTATTAGCTAAAAACTTGGCATATCTTGGCATGGTGTGCAGTGTCTTTAAAACATTGTGGATAAAACTGGACAAGTGGGGGACAAAAGAAGACGAGACAGGCTTAAAAACAATCTGCAGCAGATAGATAGTATCTGAAAGTCGTGTCCTTAAAAAAAGGTCTTCTGCAAAGACCTGACACAGGACCTGAGAGATGCCCTTCAGTTGATCCATGTTCTTGGAAGCCTCACCAGAAATGGTTTCTGTGGCTCAGCTGGCTGTCAAGAGGCCGTTCTATAGGAAGGGAAATTGGGAGGAAAGGCTAAAGCATACCAAGTTACACAAGAACTGATGGAACCGACTCTTTTCTTATATATCATTTTAAATATATTTTTGAACTGGCTCAATAAATTATTGCACCTATTTTAAATTTTCCTAGTGAAGAAAATGAAGAGTGGCTCAAATGTTATATGCTGTTTTACACTGTAAATTTTTGCTCTAAAAAACTATAATGATTGTGTGTGTGTGTGTGTGTGTGTGTGTGTGTGTGTGTGTGTGTGTGTGTGTGTGTGTGTGTGTGTGTGTGTTGGGACAGGCTCGCGATGACATCCTGAATGGATCTCATCCAGTCTCCTTTGATAAGGCCTGTGAGTTTGCAGGCTATCAGTGTCAGATTCAATTTGGGGATCACAACGAGTCCAAACACAAGTCTGGCTTTTTAGAGTAAGCACTGGTATTTTGGTTGTATTGTTGTTTTGTCTTCAAACTGTAATGAGCTGCCTGTTAAATTTTTTTTTGATTTGACCTTTTTCCTCTTCAGTTTAAAAGAGTTCCTTCCCAAAGAATACATCAAGAACAAAGGGGAGAAGAAGATCTTCCAGGTAAGAAGTGGATTCTGTGGCAGTTTTGAACTAAATGTCAGTTCTGACTGTGCTGTTCTGTTTAATATTTTTGATGTATAAAGATCAGGTCAAACACAAATTTTATCAAGATGACTTATACTTGGAGGCTGGTACATAATACCACAGTGAGTTCTTCTAATCCTCTGACTGTGTTTCTGCAGGCACACAAAAACTGTCAAAACATGACAGAGATTGAGGCTAAAGTCAACTATGTGAAGCTGGCCAGGTCCCTGAAAACGTATGGTGTGTCATTCTTTCTGGTCAAGGTGAGAAGAACAATGGATTACCAAAGTGGAGGTTGCTTTTGATTTGAGACTTGAGACTCACTTTACAAATAATATTCATTTACATAATTAAATAATATTATTTACAATAATACGATCAGCACAAAGATAGAAACTTGCAATTTCTACCAACCAGTCCAGCATGTTGCATTAGTGGAAACTGTTCTCCAAACTAGCCAGTTTGCTACTACATTTCTGAAAAAGGGCTAGGGGAAGAGGAGGGTATGAATAAGAGTCAGAGAAGAAAAATTCACAAATAGGGCAAGATTCATCTGAAAATGTTTAAATACTTTATATGCTTTCTCTCATTCTGCAGTGCTAGCTGGATGATGGCTGAGTTAATTTGTTGATTGTGGATCTTCATGGATTGAGTCATTAATATTTGCCCAGTTTAATTTATGTTTACTTCACAGTCATTTCATTTCCCTTCATGCAGGAGAAAATGAAGGGTAAGAACAAATTGGTGCCTCGACTTCTGGGTATAACCAAAGAATGCGTGATGAGGGTTGATGAGAAGACCAAGGAGGTGATCCAGGAGTGGAACCTGACCAACATTAAACGTTGGGCTGCCTCACCAAAGAGCTTCACCCTGGTGAGTTCTTAAGTAGAGACAAGATAAGAGCATTGTTGAGCCTGGTTCAGAAATATCTTAACCAGATCTCTCTCTCTCTCTCTCTCTCTCTCTCTCTCTCTCTCTCTCTCCCTCCCTCGCTCTCTTGCTCTCTTTTTCTGATTTGAACACCTGAAATGACTTTTAACACATTATCAAACTGCCTTTTTCTCATTTTACTATTTCCACCAGGCCAGTGCAACACCATAAGATTGTTTGGGTTTTTGTCACTGTGTAACATTGTATCTGACTTCTTCCCAAAACAGTTCTATTGCCTCTGTGCACTCAGTCATAGTGAGTTAATATGAAGCATGCATTCACGGTGTTTGAATTGCTTCACTTGCTGATTTTTATTTTTATTTTTTGCAAATATTTTTATTGAAAAAATAAAACAACACAGTACTTGCACTTACCAAAATACAATTAACCTTTCTTCATTTTCCTAAGTAAATATATTTATATATATAAAAAAAACAACTAAACAAAAACAAACTCTAAAACATTTTAACAACACTAATCTTACCGATTAACCCTCTCAAGGCAGGCGTTGCTGATTTGCAACAGTTAAAAACTAACAACCTGATTACCCCACATACATATTTTATGATTTTTTTTACTCAGAAGTACCACTGCAGGACTTGGTTGTGCATTAGCAACAAAAAGTTTAATTTGAGCCTGAGAGGGTTAAAGAAAGGGGGAGATTACCCTATCTTTGAATATCAGATGTAATCCTTGATATAAGGGGAGTCAAATTAGTTGATTTAAGGCCAGATAGAGAACGAGTCATATTAATCCCTATGTATTTAAACCTCGATGGACCACTTGCTGATTTCTAATCCTCTCCTAAAACGTCAATTTCCAAATATTCGTTCCATGCATTTTTCTAGCAAAATACTTTAGTGAGACCTAGAGATGGATGGCAATTACTGATATCACTTCTCTTTTCTCATGGGTGCGTTAAGAGTCACCACCATCGCTAAGTAGGATATCAAAGACATATTACATTCATGAAAATGATTTGCATGCTGTGTGGTCAAATGTTTGTGCATGTCAGAGGTATATCCCCACTTTGCTGTAATCAGTGTTGGGCTCATTACTCGAAAAAAGTACTTAGTAAACAGAACAATCCTCTTAAAAGTAATGCAGTACGTTGCATAATTACTTCCAGGGGAAAGTAATTCAAATTATGGAAGGCTCTCAAGCAAAAGCGCTTCTAGAAAATGTTCCATCAGTGGTATTAAAAGTTTTATTTTAAATTTGTATACAAATCATTTGCAGAAAAATTTCACCTTTGTTCAGATTGCATACGTTCAGTTGAGCCTTCAATTGATTCTTTGGTAATTTCTCACTACATCCTCTGTTCTTCACCTAACCTAATGGAATAGTTCACCTATTCAAGAAGCTATTCATTTTCCAGTATAATCTGTAAGGTATTTTAACTTCTGGTTGTTTGCTCTGCCTTTAGGACTTTGGAGATTACCAGGACGGTTACTATTCTGTGCAGACCACTGAGGGAGAGCAGATAGCTCAGCTTATTGCTGGTTACATCGACATCATCCTTAAAAAGGTCAGCAGCATTATACATTTCATTGACAACATGGATGCTTTGATGGGGGATGAAGAATTTATTTCCTAAAAAAATGTCAAAAAATACTACAACACCATTTTGTCTAGTGAGATTTCTTTTGACATGTCACTCTTTCCATGTCACTCTGTAAGTATTCAACGCAATAGAATTTCTTTACATACTACATATGTTACATATGTGCTGGTGTGTATTTATCATCATACCATAAGGTGATCTCAAGTTCTGTGCTGACATTTCACAAAGAAGATATGAAACACGAAGTCCTGTGTCTTTTCAGGTGTTTTACAAGCCCAAGCTTGAAAGTGGCTGCTCTTACTGCAGCACAACACTGTTTATCTTCTCTGTGCTCTGTTAAAATGTATTATTTAGTTCTTTAAAATATGTGCCTTTTGCTTGACAACTGGATTACCACTCATGGCACTTTCACACAGGACTGTGGACTCAGTGTGCTCGTCAGTGAGTCTGGTGTACTTTTGATCACAGTGTCGTTTTTCATGTCATCATTGGCTTTTCCAGTCACACTGTTAATGCCTACTCATTTTGCTAGACACTATGGTAGTGTCAAGAAGAGCAGTGCTTCCTGACCAACTGTTCAAAGTTGCATAAAAGTGATAGAAAAACATCTTACTAGGCAGCTGTCTGTACTGAAACTCATGTTTTTAATCTTTTCTTTATTTTGAAACAAAAGAAAATATAAATCCTTTAAAACTGAATTTGATATAATCCAGTGTGTCACCACATTTCTTTCTCTTGACAGAAAAAGAGCAAAGACCACTTTGGCTTGGAGGGAGATGAAGAGTCAACCATGCTAGAAGACTCTGTGTCACCCAAAAAGTAAGTGTATGAGTGTTACCACTGAATAGTTTTCTGTACTTGACACGTACAAGTTTCACTGAATGGTATTCCAACAATACTCCATCCATCCATGGAGTATTCAGCTTTCCTAAGTCGCCACCAGGTAGTTATTTGTTGACAGTGTAGCTCCTCTCTTCAGCTTAGCGTTCAAGAGTTGCAGCTGAAGAGACAACTACATTATTACAAACCGGATCATTGACCTGCACCTCAGGGCTTTCAGAACTAGGTTCTTTCTCATGCCACTCCAGGTCCACGGTGTTGCAGCAACAGTTCAACAGGGTCGGCAAAGTGGAGACAGGCTCAGTGGCCCTGCCAGCCATCATGCGCTCAGGAGCTGGTGGACCAGAGAGCTTCCAGATGGGCTCCATGCCTCAAGCTAAGCAGCACATAACCAGTGGACAGATGCACAGAGGACATATGCCTCCACTGGTATGACAGAATGATAAGACATGAAACAGAAATTGGAAATTAAACTGTAACAGTAGGCTTTATTTTCTCTTTCCTTAAAACTTAAATATAGCAGGCTAACATCCTCATAAACCCACGTGAACGTGCAAATGCCAGAATCCTTACTGAGCAGCCAATGTTGATCTGTAGCACTGAAGTGACGCTTTTATAAAAATTAGGAATTGCATATTTGTGAATTTGTTTTACAGAAATCCAAACAGCCAAGTACAGTTTTAAAAAATGCATTCATTATGTTTTTAGTTATAGGAGCAATTTCTGTTATTTTGTTGTTTCAAACACAGAATTATATTCACAATTTCTTTTAATTTAATACATTCACTTTTTTATCAACAGACTTCAGCACAGCAAGCCCTGACTGGAACCATTAACTCCAGTATGCATGCTGTCCAGGCTGCCCAAGCTTCACTGGATGATTTTGATACTCTGCCTCCATTAGGAACAGATGCAGTGAGATTTCACTTCATTTGCTTGGACTGATTTAAGTGCTGATTGTATTGATGATGTATAGTGAAGACTCCATTCTAAATGGATTGTTTTTTTGTTTTCTTTTAAGGCATCTCAAGCTTGGCGCAAAAACAAGATGGATGAGTCCAAACATGAAATCCATTCACAGGTGGATGCCATTACAGCAGGCACAGCCTCCATGGTCAACCTCACTGCGGGTAGGAATAGTGGAGCATCTCTCTGTTCTTGTAATCATGCTTTTTTCAACAACAAAAAAAACTCTATGGAAACTGTATGTATGCTCCCGGTGCACGTTTTGTCTGCTGATATTAATCACAGAACTCTGGAAGTTATTGAGTAAACGCAGCATTGTTGACTTTAATGCACTATGCACCTCAACATTGAGTCTGTGACTTGGTTGCTAAATGTTTCCTCTTTGCAATAACACCACTTACAACTGGTCATTAAATAGCTAGGAAGGAAGAATCAATTGTCTACTAATTGGAAGTTTGGTGGTTTGAATCCTGTTTGCTCCAGCCTCCATCTCACTTTAGCTGGAGTGGTCAAGATGTTGAACCTCGAGTTGCTCCCAATGCAGTTAGAGAGTGAATGTGTGTCTGAATGCTAGCTAAAAAGCACAGATGTAGAAAAGAGTCCTTGTAAGAATGTGTGTGTGAATGGGTGAATGAGACATGCTGTATAAAGTGTTTTGAGTTCTAAAGTAAGGATAAAAGCACTATATAAGAACCAGTCCATTTACCATTTGTTGCAATGGTGTCATTCTATTACACTACCTATTACAGCAAGGTCTTTACAGTTTTCACAAATGCTTGTGAAGGAAGACTGCGTGGCTACATGCTTTGTTTTATACAACTGGAAAACACCTGAATTCAAAGATTAAGAGAACTGTTCTCTTAACTGTTCTTTCCTCATACAATGTGTATTATCTGCACTGACAATGTGACTCTTAAAATACATTGAGGCATTTTATTCATAATTTCTTATCAAACCGAAAATACAACTATTAAACATTAAGTTTCCTGTTGGTCAGGTTCATTTGCAGTAATGATAATACGAATTTGGAAGACTGGTTGTCCTTCAGCATCAGCTCTCTTAGTATAAATTTCACTGCTCACTTTGCAGTTTTTGAGTTTTAATGCTAACATGTTCCCTACTTTGCTATGCAAAGCATTCACTAGTTTTGCATTTGGATAGGCCCTGTGTTCACTGCCCAGCATTGAGGACCTGATTACCATTTTCCATAGAATACCAGAACTGGCAGGTGGACCACTGGGGTTCTGTGCCTCACCCTGAGCATGTGGAAGATGTGAAAGAGTCTCAAGAAGCTGTTACGAAAGTTATGCTTTCTGTAACATGGGCAGCAGCACCATGACTGCCATTAAGAATCAGGATTAAATTCTCTGACCCCTTGTCAGACCCTATTGCCAATGCACCAGCAGGTGCATTGGCATGCAGGCAGTTCCTGGAGGATGGCCCCCACATTTGCCAGACCTAAACCTGTCAGAACATTTTTTGGGACATTATGTTTCTTTTTATCTATCCGACGTCGTAAGGTTTCACCTCAGACTGTCCAGGAGCTCAGTGATGTCCTGGTCTAGATCTGGGAGGAGATTCCCCGATGACACCATTCATAGTCTTACTAGGACTATGACCCAACGTTGTCAGCCATGCATACAAGCACATGGAGGCCATACAAATTACCCGGCTGCATTGTTTTTTTTCACTTAGATTTTTTGGGTTTCTTTGAATTCCCCTGTAGTAGGATAATTTTCATTTACTTCAAATGATGTAGCATCCTTTCATCCCAGCAGATATCCAGTGTTATTTTTTCCATTGATATCTGATCTGTTTTCTGAGTACTTTCTGAATTTGTTTCTTATGCAAATATAACAAGCGTCCTGTAGGAGATAAAGCACAAATCTCTGCCCTTCTCTGTCTTTAGGTGATCCAGCAGAGACAGATTACACAGCAGTAGGCTGTGCTGTTACTACAATCTCCTCCAACCTAACAGAGATGTCAAAGGGTGTTAAACTTCTGGCAGCACTTATGGAGGATGAAGGAGGAAATGGACAGCATCTGCTTGGTGCTGCCAAGAACCTGGCCTGTGCTGTCTCTGAAATGCTAAAGACTGCCCAACCTGCAAACACAGAGGTACACAGCCAAACTAAAAGGAAGACAGAGATACATTGTGTTTTTCTACTCTTTCTTGTTTGAGATCAGTAATATCTTTTGGTTCCAGCCTCGTCAGAATCTGCTGCAGGCTGCTGGAAATGTGGGCCAAGCCAGCGGAGAGCTGCTTTCTCACATAGGCGAGGCAGACACTGATCAACAGTTCCAGGTGTGCTCATCATAACATTTATTATTGTAGTGTTTTGCTGTTTTGGTAGTTCTTTGATTTTGCTGTGTAGCCATAGGAACTACTATTGTATATGCAAGACAAAGTATCACACATTAGATACTATTCACATTCAATTGACAAGACTTTATTTTCACCAATGATAAGGTATGCTAACTGCTGTTTGCTTTTGGCAGGACATGCTGATGCAATTGGCTAAAGCTGTGGCTAATGCTGCAGCAGCTCTGGTGCTCAAAGCAAAGAATGTGGCCCAGAAGACAGAAGACTCAGCCCAGCAGAACCGGGTCATCGCAGCAGCAACTCAATGCGCTTTGTCCACATCTCAGCTAGTGGCTTGCACAAGAGTGAGAACTCGACTTTAATACAGTGTTCACCGTCTGATAGGGACAACTGTTGACTGAAACTGAAATGTTCTTTTTGCATTTGAGCCAAGCCTAAGGTCTTTCTACTTTTCTGTCCCACCAATAATCCTATCCCTCTTCAAGGTGGTGGCTCCAACAATCAGCTCTCCAGTGTGCCAGGAGCAGCTAATTGAGGCGGGCAAGCTGGTGGCTAAGTCAGTAGAGGGCTGTGTTGAGGCATCACAGGGAGCGACCAATGATGATGGTCTCCTGAAACAGGTGGGCATGGCTGCCACAGGTGTCACACAGGCTCTTAATGAGCTCCTTCAACACATCAAACAATATGCCAGTGGAGGCCATCCCATTGGACGTCATGGAGAAGCCACTGACCGCATTTTGGATGTCACTGAGAACATCTTTAGCTCTATGGGAGATGCTGGTAAGTGAAGGAAGCTAAAACTGTTTCCACAGGATGGCTTTGGATCCTTTTGTAATTTGAAATCTTTATAGGCTTTTTTTATACCCATAAAATTACATTCTCTAAAATGTGTTGTGAAGAATCTTGGTTTCCAGGAGCACCACTGGTTTACCCCAAATATGGAGTAGCATAGTTGAAGAAAAGCTGACACACAGGATATTCCATATATAATATCTATATATTAGAAAAGTCAGCATTTTTTTCACTTGTCACTGTTCAAAATCTTTTTATTTATTTTTTAAGATGTAATGTACTGGCAATGTAATATAGCAGTTTTCTGACCACTGAAAGCGCTTTAGACTACAAGTAACATTTTCACCATGCATTCATACAGTGCTTCATATTATACACTTCAAACTCATCCTCCACCTTATGTGCATGGCAATTTTTGAATCACCAGTTAACCTAAAATGCATCTCCTTGGACTGTGGGAGAAGCTGAAGTACTCACAGGAAACCCATAGTGATTCAGTGGGCACATTTAAACTCACAGTGAGGCCCAGCCGGAGTTCTTCTTTCTGTCAGGTGACACTAACCGCTCCACCAGCATGTTACCTGATCATATCTACATTAGTCTAGTTAAAAAAATATTCTCAGACTTCTTTTTAAGAGGCTAGTGCTAGAAAACAGTATGTAAAATCATGTAAAAGTAATTTCGTAATGGTAAGCTAAGTGATTAAAATCTGAGATGATCTTGAAAATGCATTATTACCTTATTATTATAAGTTTTACAGCTTGAAAATAACAAAAAAGGAAAAGAAGGTTTTACAAAAGTTTTACATATACTGTGATCCTTGCGTACTTCTATGTATGTTTCTGTTTGGAGGCTTATGACAAGGACATCTACTTCTGTGAGATTCTTGGCCTGTCTCGCATCAGCTGCTCCTCTAACTATCTGTAATTTTTCAGTAATCTTTGGTTCATGTTTGTGACTGTTGATGCCTCAAAACCTTGAGCTTGTGCCTCTTGATGTTGTCTATAATCAGCAGCTTGCTTCCAGACTTTTCTGTTTTTAACCAGACTCCCATTGAGAAATCAGTGGGACCAGTGGGACAGGTGATATTAGCTATTTGCGATACACCACTATCTGGATTCATAACTGAAGATAAATCCATCCATGAATTTCTCTGGGGCTGGGTCTCCAGGACAGCAGCCTAAGCAGAGAGCTTTGTCTGAGGGAACACCGAGGCCAGCCAAGAGATATAATCTATTACTATGTGCATATTAGTATTGTACAGCACTTTGGTCTACCAGGTGCTATATAAATAAATAAATGATGATGATGATGATGATAATCTCCCCAGCATGCCTCCTTCCGGTGGGACATGGCCAGAACTTCACCCGGGAGGCATCCTTGGGAAAAACACACTTGAATAATTTGTGTTTGCTATATAGTTTGTCCACCAGATGGCAGTCTATAACTTCTTTCCTAGGAACAAATATTTGAAGCACAGCAAACAACTGATCCACATTTATTTGTGAAAATAAAATAGGATTATTTTCGAACTGCTTTATGGGATTATGTTAGTAAGCACTCATAAACAGCTACACATAACTAATGTTAGGGAGATCCATTTATGTTTTGTGAAAAAAAGCATCAGTCTTAAAAATCCTAAATCATTTAAGTTTTTTGAAATATAATATTCTTCTTGTCTGTTATCGTTTAGTTTAACCTCCACTTTTCATGCTAATTATATTACGTTACCTTTTCTACATTCTTAGAACCTTCTGTTTTGTGGGACATGGTTAAGGAGTTGATTATTTAGAAAGAGTTTTTATACTATGCTTGCTCAGAATATTAAAATAATATTTCTTCTTTAGCTTTCTGCCTTCTAAAGATCAATTTATATTCTTCTCACACAACTGTTGGAAGGATGAAATTTTCTTTATTGTTTTTTTAATCATCACATTTTTCTCCATCTTTCTTTTTTGCTACACTAGGTGAGATGGTCCGTCAGGCTCGTATCCTTGCTCAAGCCACCTCTGATCTGGTCAATGCTATCAAGATGGATGCAGAAGGAGAGTCTGACCTAGAGAACTCACGCAAGCTTCTTTCTGCTGCCAAGCTGCTGGCTGATGCCACAGCCAAGATGGTGGAGGCCGCTAAGGTCTGCCTTTGTCTTTTTCTTTTTTTTAAACTCTGTGGATAAGACTGTGTTATCATTTTGTTGATTTGTTGGTTTAATATATAATGTGAATATTTTATCCCAGGGTGCAGCAGCAAATCCCGACAGTGAGGAACAGCAGCAGAAATTACGAGAGGCGGCTGAAGGTCTCCGCATGGCCACCAACGCTGCGGCGCAGAATGCTATCAAGAAACGCCTAGTCAACAAACTGGAGGTAACACCCCCAACCGGTTTGGAAGATAGCTGCCTCTCCCTGAACTTGGTTCCGCTGGAGTTTTCTTCCTGTTAAAAGGGAAATTTTCCTTCCTACTGTCACCGTCATCTGATTGTTGGGGTTTTCTCTGTATTATTGGAGGGTCTTTACCTTGCAATATAATGCACCTTGAGACAACTGCTACTTTGATTTGGCACCATATAAATAGCATTGAATTGATTTACCACAAAAATGCTTTTAAAATGATGTCTGATGCTGATGCAGCTATTTCACACCCAACCACGATCGGTGGAACTCTGAATATTTCTTAAACACTTTAGTACAGCGTCTCTTTTGGGAATATAACTAAGTTTAACTTTGTGGCCTGTCTGACATGATGCTTAATTATAATACTGGCTTCAGTAACTTCCTGTTTTAACTTTAAAAGTTTAACATTTGCATCTTATTATTAGTTCTGTCTGAGTCATTTCCCTGATTATTGCTAGTCTTGTGCTCTTTGCTGTTTTTTTTTTGACTTGTCGTGTTCCTTTTTTCTGGCAGAACGCAGCCAAACAAGCAGCAGCAGCAGCCACTCAGACCATTGCTGCTGCACAACATGCAGCCTCAACCAACAAGAACCAGGCTGCCCAGCAGCAGCTTGTTGTGGGCTGCAAGGTAAAAACTCAGTACTTGCTTTGGTTTATATAAACATATATGGAACTAAGCTTGCTATGTAGAATCAACAATCAGTGGTACAAACAGTAAATTTCATGGAGGTTTTGGGTCTTTTTTTAAAAAAGATATATGGACAACCTAATATCGTCTTGTAGTGATTGACCCGACACACTGTATCACTTTGAGGAGTATCACTTGAGCTCACTCTCCCACTCCTCCCCTGCAGCTGAGCCACACCTCTGCCACACTCCTATTAATAAACTTGATATACTCAAAGAAATGATAAATAAAAATTACATTTTCTCATAATTAAAACAATGTAAAAAAAAAAACCCAGAGTATTCCCACTAATAGTAAGTACATGCCTTTATCTATTATCTTTCAAATCTGTGAGAATCAGACGATCCACACCAGGTATGATGACTAGAACCTTTTAAAGGAGGGACAGACTGGAGTGTACAGAGGTTTCTAAACCCTTCAAACTGAAGGATCTGAATGCGACTGTCCACCTTAGCAAAGTTATGCTTGTTGTGTTAAGATATTTTTAAAAACTGTATTGTGTGTGTGTGTGTCTCCAGGCTGTCGCAGAGCAGATCCCTCAGCTGGTTCAGGGAGTCAGAGGCAGCCAGTCTCAGCCTGACAGCCCAAGTGCACAGCTGGCTCTCATTAGTGCCAGCCAGAACTTCCTGCAGGTGACTGTCACACCACCAACTTCACTGAGTGACAGCAGACTAACAAAACAACAGAAGAGTATAGCTATGTAACTGTGTTACAGTCATAATAAACAGCCACAAACAGATTGTGGCCTCATTGTTTTGAGCAACAAATCTTAAAACACAGACAGAGTAACACTGTTGTCTGTCACTGGGTTAGAAATCTTTTCTGATGATTTTACTGCAACCTGGGAATTTTCTGTGTCACCAATGTGTCTTTTTTAGGTAGCTAAATCACTGATAACTTATGCCATGCATGTAACCTGGTTGCATCTTTCAGTTTAACCTTTTTTGTGATTTCTTGCCTCTTTGGAACTAAAGGAGACCACCCAAACACATGAGATATCATTGGAAAGTCAAGATGTTGTCTATTGAACACATTTAGTAGTAACTTAGTAGGGTAGCTCAAATAAGTCAAAAGATATAGACCAAAAACTAATTTCCATTATAGAGGACATAAATGAATAGGCTGGGTCTCAGTAGGTTAGGGGGAGATGAAAAAGAATAGTCAGAAACCTGAAAACAATATGGCTTGGCACTGTCTATATTTTCATTGAGTTTTTTTTATTGATTGTATGTTTATTTACACCATTATTAACTAGAGATAAGAATGAGGAGATGTAAACGCACTTCTAGCAAAAGTTTTAGGAAAAGCAAACACTTTATAGTCCCTTTCTTTTTTAGAATGAATTGCTTTAAATCAAAACCAATGCAACATGTCTCTCTTCCCTCTACCAGCCCGGTGCTAAGATGGTTACAGCCTCCAAAGCTGCTGTTCCCACCATCAGTGACCAGGCTTCAGCTATGCAGCTCAGCCAGTGTGCTAAAAACCTGGCCAGTGCCTTGGCAGAGCTCCGCACTGCCTCACAAAAGGTAGTACTAATTATATATATTCATCAGTTTGATTCTGAGAAAGATTTCAGCGTTCATTGTACTGTGCTAGCTGGAGTCAGCAAAGTGAGTGAAAGACCTAAGAAACACTCATGCATGTTTGAACTTTTGTGAAATGATATCATACAGGAATGATCTAATTCTCCAGATTTCTTTTTACTGTTTTAGATTAAGAAATACATGAATTTCCAGATTTCTAACAGATGGCCTATTTTTTTGGTCAATGAATCAAGTGAAGCAATTATGGTGTAGAACTTTTTTCTGATTTTTTTTGACTGATATCTAATTCATGCAAGATATAACTATGTTTTATTTAACTAATCACAGATATTTTTGTGTATCTTAGGCTCAGGAAGCTTGTGGACCACTGGAAATAGACAATGCTCTATCAACGGTGAGAGATTTGGAAAAGGAGATTCAAGAGGCCAAGGCATCAGCAGAAGAAGGCAAACTTAAACCACTACCAGGAGAGACGGTAAGGAACACTGAAATAGTTTTGGTTCACTGGACAACACCATGAACGAAGCATAAACATAACATTTTTTTAATAATAATAATTGGTGAGTTATTTTCAAAAGGTAGGAATGGTTGATAATGTTTCTTTCCATGTCTTCTGCTGTGTTGTTCAGCTTGAGAAATGCTCCCAGGATCTGGGTAACAGCACCAAGGCTGTGAGCTCAGCCATAGCCCAGCTGCTGAGTGAAGCCACCCAGGGAAATGAGAACTACACTGGTGAGTTTAACATAACCAGAATGTCAGCTATTAAGTATATTTTTTGTTCAAGAGGAAAAATAGTACAATAAAGCTTTACTTGCAATGAGATGTGACAGGATGAAACGGCAATACGAGTCTGTCACTTTAAAAATGGGGTTGTTTCTGATCCCAGTCAAATTTTTATAGTAGGGCCTTTACCTTACAGCAGCGGTCCCCAACCCCCGGGCCCCGGACCGGTACCGGTCCGTGAGTCGTTTGGTACCGGGCCGTGAGAGTTGAGGATCAGGTGTGAAATGTATGGTTTTCAGGGTTTTTATCGGTTTTCAGCGTTATTTTGTTATCGTTTTTATCGTTAACTTGGTTTCCCTGGGTCTTTTCACGTGTGTTATGAATAAATCTTCTTTTTTTCGGTACCGGTACTGGTTTTATTTTGTTGTATTTATCCGCGACACCTTAAAGGCCGGTCCGTGAAAATATTGTCGGGCATAAACCGGTCCGTGGCGCAAAAAAGGTTGGGGACCGCTGCCTTACAGTATAAAGCACATGTGGCATCTTTTGTTGTGATTTGGTGTTGAGTGATATACCATTCTTAGGGCATAGGCTTTAGTATGGTGTCATCCCATGCTTTGCCGCTATAACAGCTTCAACTCTTCTGGGAAACCAAATCACAACAGCAGTCACCTCAAGCCACTTTATATTGTAAGGCAGACCCTACAATAATACATGCTATGAGCAAGCACTTTGGCGACAGTGGGAAGGAAAAACTCCCCTTTAAAAGGAAGAAACCTCCAACAGACCCAGGCTCAGGGAGGGGCGGCCATCTGCTGCAACTGGTTTGGGTGAGAGAAGGAAGACAGGATAAAAGACATGCTGTGGAAGAGAGCCAGTGATTAATAACAAGTATGATTCAATGCAGAGATGTCTATTAACACATAGTGATTGAGAAAGGTGACTGAAGAAGAAATAGTCAATGCATCATGGGAATCTCCCAGCAGCCTACACCTGTTGCAGCATAACTAAAGGAGGATTCAGGCTCACCTGATCCAGCCCTAACTATATGCTTTAGCAAAAAGGAAAGTTTTAAACCTAATCTTAAAAGTAGAGATAGTGTCTGTCTCCTGAATACAAACTGGAAGCTGGTTCCACAGAAGAGGGGCCTGAAAACTGAAGGCTCTCCCTCCCATTCTACTTTTAAATACTCTAGGAACAACAAGTAGGCCTGCAGAGCGAGAGCGAAGTGCTATAAGGATATTAAGATCAGATGGGGCCTGATTATTCAAGACTTGAATAATGTGAGGAGCAGGAATTTGAATTCAATTCTGGATTTAACAGGGAGCCAATGAAGGGAATCCAATATAAGAGAAATATGCTCTCTCTTTCTAGTCCCTGTCAGTACTCTCATGGCAGCATTTTTTGATTAACGGAAGGCTTTTCATGGAGTTTTTAGGACATCCTGATAATAATGAATTACAGTAGTCCAGCCTAGAAGTAATAAATGCATTAACTAGTTTTTCAGCGTTGCTCTGAGACAGGACAAGATGGACAATTTGTAACATTTCTCATGGAATCAACAGAAGAAATAGGAACCAGTTTTGTTTCACTCATTCAATCCTTGCGTTAGGTCCCTGTTTAGACTGAAGTGGTTCAACAAAAAAACAACAAGACAATCTTGAAAATGGTCAAGTAGAATGTCTGGACTAAAGATGAGTGATGCAAAAGAAATGACGAGTGACTCAAGAATTTTGCATTATACTACATTTCAAAATATCTTTTTTATTAATTTAAACAAATTAGACCTTAGGCATTCCCAGACTGTAAATTTTGTATTATGTCTTTCTACGCACCAAAGTTTCTCTCCTCTGTCCTGTTGGATCCAGGTATGGCAGCCAGAGATGTGGCTCAGGCTCTAAAGTCACTAGCTTCGGCTGCCAGAGGAGTCGCTGCTACCACAGATGACTCAGCAGCACGTAGTGCCATACTGGACTGTGCTGGGGATGTCATGGACAAGTCATCCAACCTTATTGAAGAGACCAAGAGGGCCATTGCTAAACCAGGAGCTGCAGAGAGTCAGCAGAGATTGGCCCAGGTTAGAGCCAGACCGAGAGATTACAAATGCTTTTGTTTGGTAGCTACAGTAGTTTATTTCTGAATGTTTATATGTCTTTCATATAATAATGACAATCATCATGTGCATGTGTTTCTGTGTGAAGGTGGCTAAGGCGGTTTCCCAGGCCTTGAACAGATGTGTGAATTGCCTTCCTGGCCAGAGGGATGTAGACAATGCCATCCGCACTGTGGGCGAAGCTAGCAAGTCTCTCCTGGCTGATTCCGTTAGTACAAAATTAACAGTTTTTAACAAATGTAGATTGTAGTTACTGATAAAAAGATCTCAGGTGAATAGTATTTCACCCTGAAGCTATTCTATTAATCAATCAAGTTCCATCACCTACTGTTTTTCATAATTTTCCTGATCTCTCTTTTTTTCTCTTCTTTTTTTTTTTTTTACCTGTGAAACACAGTTGCACAGCAAAACTAGTCTTTCTTCTCCAAAATTGTACATATCATGGAACCCTGGAAGACAGTCTTTGGAGACAAGTTAATTGTGGATGCTTGGGGATGAAAACATAATTTATGAGTCAGGCCTAGTTGCTTACAGTTATAACCAAAGTTATAACCAGTTGTAGCCAATATTCTTTTGTATATTGCTACTTGCAGTATTAGAATTTTTTTCTTCCCAACATAGTTCCCGTCTAGTGGAAAGAGCTTCCAGGAGGTTCAAGCTCATCTCAACGAGGTTGCAGCTGGTCTAAATCAATCAGCCAATGAAGTGGTCCAGTCATCCAGAGGAACTACCCAGGACCTGGCCAGGGCCACTAGCAAATTTGGACAGGAATTTAGCAACTTCCTAGAGGCTGGTGTTGACATGGCTGGAACATCTCAGGTCAGTTTGAATGAGTTACCACCAGGCAAACTGTCGTCCAATTTTTTAAAACATGTATTTATGAGTTTTATATCCTCAAAAATGTACTGTCCTTTGTATCGTTGTGGTGTACCACGCAAAGAGCAGACACAGGTTCATATTCCAAGAAGCTGGGTCATCATGACACATGATTTAGGTGAAAAAATATTAATTGCAAAAGCCATAGAGTTTTCAGTGTCTTCACACTTCTTCCTTTCCTCTAGTCTAAGGAGGACCAGACCCAGGTGGTGTCTAACCTGAAGACAATCTCAATGTCATCAAGCAAGCTGCTTTTAGCAGCTAAAGCTCTGTCCACTGATCCTAGCTCCCCCAACCTCAAGAACCAGCTGGCAGCAGCTGCCCGGTAAAACCCCCCCACAAAAAAAACCCCAAACCAAAATAAAAAAATAAATTTTCTGCAGCTTTGGTTTTAACCACTTATCTGTCTTATCATTTGTCTTTGCAGGGCTGTTACAGACACTATTAACCAGCTCATCACCATGTGCACTCAGCAGGCTCCAGGTCAGAAGGAGTGTGATAATGCTCTCAGAGAGCTTGAGGTAACAGCCACCATCAAACAGTTTCTCTTTTTTATCTTTTCTTTAGCTTCCCATGTCCCGGACGGATCATAAAAATCTCTAAAACTGTATAATAATAATAATAAAGAAAACCATAAACAATCAATACATTTCAGTCATAGAGGTTGTGTGACACTCAGCTGAGTTGTACAGTTTAACAGTGTGAGTTTGTCAGGAATGTATGCTGTGTTTGTGTGCAGTCAGTGAAGGGGATGCTGGAGAACCCGACAGAAGCAATCACTGAGCTGTCATACTTTGACTGCATTGACAGTGTCATGGAGAACTCCAAGGTACTGTAGAATACACATCATTAATGCCTTTCTTTTATGGTTTTAGTTCTATTTTTTTAGGATTTTCAACATTGGCAGTTCCTGTCTAATTTGGAATAGGTAATAGACTGGAAACAGTAGAAGCGCGGGCTGTTTCTCCCACAGAAAAAAAGAGGACGTGATTCTATCAGATCACATATTCTCCATCTTATTGCATCAGTTTAGACAATGTCATCAGAATCAGAATGCTTTATTAATCCCTAAGGAAATTATGCACATATACATTATGCCTATGAAAGTGTCATTTTTTTTTTTTTTTTGCTGTGAGCTCCATCGGTTAGACAGTAACTAAAAGAAAATTTCTTGGTAATGATAAAAGATGAAATAAACAACATAATGAGCCAAAGCAAACGTGATACAAGTTTTAATTTCTTCTTGTTTTTCAACACCTTAAACTATTTAAGTATTTAAGCAATTTGTTTCGTCGGCAACAAACTACAAAGCTTGGATGTAGACTACAATGTTATGGTTCAGTCAGTGCTTTGTCAGTGCTTTAGCTTTACTCAATATCATCATTAAATGTGTGATGCTCCACTCTTTGATTTCTGATTCTCTTGTTATTTGTCAATAGGTCCTCGGTGAGTCCATGGCTGGTATTTCTCATAATGCCAAAAACTCCAACCTGCCCGAGTTTGGTGACTCAGTCAGTACTGGCTCCAGAGCTCTTTGTGGTCTCACTGAAGCAGCTGCACAGGTAAAATCCATACTGTAGATTACTGTATTATTGCCTTAAGACAGCAGCTCAGAGGCAAGTAAAGTATGCTGGTAACATGTCTATTTTGGCTTGCTACACACTAGAAGTATTTACATACTGCTGACTGTGGTCGTGAGGTCTCAGAATATGCGCTTTGAGCAAAAGAATGACAAGACCACGGAACTGAAGGTTAATAACATCATGGAGAAACTCGCGGTTCTCCAACGGGAGATTGAGAGACCAGTGTCGCAGTGTGAAAGAACAGCTTGAAATTCTCATGAGTTGTTGCAAAAGAAAAATTACCATCATAATCCGGCTACCCCTTCGGCGCCACCTGTGGGCTCAAGGCTGGAGCCGAACAACAACTCCCTGATAACGACTGTGTTGAGTCTGTTCCTTCCCATTCCCTACAAGGCCACCTGGGTTGGCTGGAAGACTGTTTACTTAGCCAGGCAGGGCGAAGGACACTATCTCAGCTGAACTATGGACACGCACACACATACATATACTGATACTGACGCATCACCCTCCCTACCCCGGATCCAACGCCACCTCCAACGCTTACCTCCCCTCTGATGTGGACATTGGGTCAGCTGGAGGCGCAGTCGAAGATTGCAGCGGTCCCAGATCAGATGTACGCACTGGAAAACATTCCCATGTTACTGTCTGTGTTTATTGTGCTATGGTGTGTTGATATCTGTGCATTCCTGTATTATCCTTCTGTGTTACACATTTCGATGTTTTTTTCCTCGCTACCTAGCCTGACCTGTCTCCCCAATGTGATGTTTGTGTATTGTATGTACGGTCGGCAAGGTCTGTCATCTCAGTTGTGGGCAAAAGACCTGCAACTGACAAATAAAGGCTATCTCATCTCGTCATCATCTCATACAATGAACTTATAGGTGATTTTATGTCTCTAGGCTGCCTATTTACTGGGTGTATCAGACCCCAACAGCACAGCAGGTCAGAAGGGCCTGGTAGACCCTGCTCAGTTTGCACGAGCCAATCAGTCTATTCAGATGGCCTGTCAGAACCTGGTGGACCCAGCTTGTACTCAATCCCAGGTAAATGCTTGCCTCACTGCAAGTAATTGTCAGTTTTATCAGATTTCTTTGACTGATTATTGAGTCTGAATGTGATGACTATTACTCTCCCCATGCAGGTGCTCTCCGCAGCAACCATAGTGGCCAAGCACACCTCTGCGCTCTGTAATGCCTGCAGATTGGCCTCCTCTAAAACTCCTAACCCTATTGCCAAGAGGCAGTTTGTCCAGTCAGCCAAAGAAGTGGCCAACACCACTGCCAACTTGGTCAAATCCATAAAGGTTTGTAATAAAAGCCATATCAAACACACATCAGTATCATTCATACACACACACCCACAGCTTGAGTGAAAAGGTTAATTATGATGTAGTGACAAGTATTAATTTACAAACTGAACTACAGTCAATTATGTTTAACTATCATTTAAGAATAGGATTTTCAAAAAAATGTAAGAAAAGTAATAAAAACATGTAAGAAATGTCTTTACTTTTAGTTCTCGGTCAGACATATTAGGGTTGTCGGACATATGTTTACTGAGACATGTCTTCCGGCCTTTATCCAGTATACATCTGAAAGTGTGTAAAAATGGAACAGTCGAATCCACGTTTTCTATAATAAAAGAAAACTAATAAAACTCATAAAAAAGGATTAAACAAGAGCTCATTAGCTCACTTTTGACAGCTATATTATTTAAACCTCTTCTTCCTTGCTACATTACACTGCTCTAGGAGGTAAACAGCTAGTCTTCTAGAACTAAATAGTGCTGAAAAATTCTTATGGAAGTCATGTCTGTGTCCCCTGCATAGGCTTTGGATGGAGCCTTTAACCAGGCGAACAGAGAAAAGTGTAAAGCTGCCACTGGCCCTCTAATAGAAGCTGTGGACAACCTGACTGCTTTTGCCTCCAATCCTGAATTCGCCAGCATTCCTGCTCAGATCAGCCCTGAGGTATTTCCAAGAGCTGCCATTACAGCATTGCTATGACACTAATGTGCCCTGTCATATCATTACAAGTTACAGAATCTAACATCAGGAGATTTTCATATTCTCAGATAGATCCTGATTTGTTATTCTCTGGTTCAGGGTCTTGCAGCTATGGAGCCCATTGTGGCAGCAGCTAAGACAATGCTGGAAAGCTCCACTGGCCTGATCCAGACTGCCCGTTCTTTGGCTGTCAACCCCAAAGACCCGCCCAAGTGGTCCGTGCTTGCTGGACACTCCAGAACTGTGTCTGACTCCATCAAGAAACTCATCACCAACATGAGGTAGACCCTGCTCTGCACACTGGCCTCTTCCACTACTACTACTGTCTGGGCTCCCTCTCAACCATCACACCTAGAAAACAGTGTAACAGTATATTATGTAAATGACCATGCATAATATAAATAATGCATAGATTTACACAATATTTTGTGTTATTTTGTAATGATCACAAAATTATTATTGGCCATTAAGTCTTGCATCATTTTTATGAGTAACGTGTTATTTAACCCAAACTTTGGAATAGATTTGTATCAGACTTTTGAATGACATATATAACATATAAGGGGGGTTGTTTAGTTTATTATAATTATTATAATAATAACTGTATAGCACTTAACACAGAGTTAAAAAAGTGCTTCACAGTTCAAATAAAAGCCACACAAACATACAGACACATAATCAGCTACACCGGCAGGCATTCACTCCAACATAGACACATACAGTCAAATAGTTGCAAACTATGGCCAAAAATGAAAGGGAAAAGATGAAGGGAACACTGACCTGGAATGAAAATTAAAATAATCTAAAAAAAAAAAAGCCCAAACAAGTCAAAATGTAAAAAACTATAAAAGTAAGAATTGGTTCTCTGCTTAGATTGAGTCAAGCAGGTTATAAGAGTGTGTAGTAATTACACCCTTCATCTCATGTGTGCAGAGAAAAAGCTCCTGGCCAGAGAGAATGTGATGATGCTATTGAAGCGCTAAATGGCTGCATCCGTGAAGTTGATCAGGCCTCTCTGGCAGCCATAAGCCAGCACCTAACACCACGAGAGGACATCTCAATGGAGGTAAACATGCACACTCCACTATTAGTTTTTCACTGACTCTGTATGAATGCAGCAAGAAAATTGAATTGCTGTATCCTATACAAAATAAAAGCATTACACTTGATTGTTTGTTGTTTATTCTACGTTGAATATATATGTATGTGTCTATATGTATCTAATTTCACCTACTAAACCCCTGAAAAATCATGGTATGGATGTTACTGCCCCCACAGAATATTTCTTCCTGCCAATCCCCTGAACAGCCTGTGCATTGGTCCATGCTAGTTAGAATGACCATTTTACAAGAAGGAAAGTGAAAAGTTATTGTGAGGAAACACAAAAGTGTTTTGAGGGACAAACGGTTCAGGAAGCCACTGTGATGTAGTGTACTTCAGCATGCATTGTTCCTTGACCTGATGTGTAATAAGTCTGTTGGTAGACATAGTGAATGAAGCTGAATTTGGGGCTAATTTAAAGTATCTGAGTTTGACTGACAGTTCATATGTGTATGTTTTAGACTCTCCATGAGCAGATGGCTGCCTCAGTCCATGAGATTAGTAACTTGATTGATCCCGTGGCTGTAGCTGCTCGATCTGAGGCCTCCCAGCTGGGACACAAGGTAAACCTTAAGACAGCAACTTTTTACAGGCAACACAATTTGGACGATGTGATGGTCCAGCTACAGGCTGAAGTCTGACATGTTCCTTTTATTTTGGAATCAGTTTTGTACTTAAATAAAATTATTTGTTGCCCACACAGGTCTCTCAGATGGCCAGTTACTTTGAGCCCCTGATCATGGGAGCCATTGGCACAGCATCCAAGATTCTCAATAGTCAACAACAGATGGCTGTTTTAGACCAAACCAAAACCCTGACTGAGTCGGCCCTGCAGATGCTCTACACTGCTAAGGAGGCTGGAGGCAATCCAAAGGTAATGAAAGTTGAAATATAATGTCTTCTGGATATGTGTACTTGATTGTACTCTATGTGATTAAGTACCACTGAACACACTGAGCATTTTTGCACTGCTCACACCAATGTGCTTCCTTTATCTAGGCAGCCCACATGCACGAGGCCTTGGAGGAGTCCGTGCAGATGATGAAAGAAGCAGTGGATGACTTGGGTGCCACACTGTCTGAAGCAGCCAGTGCAGCTGGTGCAGTAGGTGGTATGGTGGACTCCATCAATGATTCCATCAATAAAATGGAAGATACACCAATGCAAGAACCTGAAGGCACCTTTGTGGACTACCAGACTACCATGGTTAAGACAGCCAAGGCCATCGCTGTGACTGTGCAAGAGATGGTAACATATTATGATAATAATGCATGGGGGATAGTTTTTGGTTTGTTGTTAGTCATTAATTTTTCCATTTAAAAGTTGAGCTCAGTTAGAAATTCTAAATGAATAAAGCATGCTCCCTCTTAGTGAGGATTGAGCATGAAAAAGTACCATATTAGGAGACAGCTGTGGGATTTCCTGTCATTGCCACTAAACAGTTATGAATGGAATAAAACAAATCACACCACAAAGGCTGTCATATGCAAAAACAGCAAGAGTATCGATTGAACATACTATTACTATTACTGCATCCTTTCAGTGGTTCAGGCCCTAAAATCTGGTAATTAGTATTTTGGCAGAACCTAAGCTGGGTAGTCCTCCAGTTTTTACTCCTCAGCTGTAAAAGACTGATGGGGTATTGTCATCACACCACCGGGTAGGTGGGCGAGCAGCGTGGACACGCTGTGAATGCAAAAAACTAGAGACCAAGGTGATGTAGGAGTTTCAAAATGATAACACAGGTGGCTCTACTAAAAAATCCTGACACAAGTCAGGAAAACTAAATGGAACCAACAAAACTGGAACGCATAGGCTGTAAACAGAGGATCATGCACACAGGTAACAAAGACACAGTACCACCCTAGGCGTAGCGTAGATTTACATGCAAGCCTTGGGACAACCTCACATTTCACCAATAGAATCAGACTTCTACCAGATAGATGTATGTTATTGAAAAATGTATCTTTTTTCTCCAACCGTAATATTATTTCTGTTACTTATCATTCTTTTCTTGCACTTTAATAGCGTTCATTGTGATAAGGATATTATGAAGACAAAAACGCATACAAAGCCATGTGCAAACACACATAATTTCCACAAAAGCCTCTTGATTTCTTATGAAACTCATGTTAGTAAATTTGCATCAATACTTAATTCATGTTGAAACATGTGTGGAACAAACTCGGTAACTAGCATCCTCTTATTTGTCTTCAGGTGACCAAGTCTAACACCAACCCAGATGACCTTGGAGGATTAGCTAACGAGCTGACCAATGAGTTTGGAAATCTTGCGAACGAAGCCAAATATGCAGCCGTTACTGCAGAGAATCATGAAGTAAATCAAACGAATGTGTCTAATGTGTGGAGTGTCTATACTTGGAAAGTGTCCTTTCCACAGTTTTCATGTTGTCATGTCTTTGTTTCCAGATTGGTTCTCATATTAAGAAGCAGGTGGGTGAGTTGGGTTTCACCTGCACAAGTCTGGTGACAAAAGCTGGAGCTCTTCAGTGCAGCCCTAATGACACCTTTACTAAGAAAGAGCTGATTGAAAGCGCACGGAAAGTCTCTGAGAAGGTCAGAACACAGGCTAACACATAACTTGTCTTTTGAATTCTTTTTTGGTCAGTTTGTCTTTATTAGATCAGCAGTGAAAAAAATTAGACATTTTCTCCTACTCTGTGGTTTTTATTCTTAATTTACCTTTCCATTTATAAAACTTATAAGACTTATTGATTTTCTTGCAGGTCTCCCATGTGTTAGCATCTCTGCAGGCAGGTAACCGTGGCACCCAGGCCTGCATCACTGCTGCCAGTGCAGTGTCTGGAATTATTGCAGACCTTGACACCACCATTATGTTTGCAACTGCTGGAACTTTGAACCGTGAAAATGCAGAAACCTTCGCTGACCACAGGTACTAATTAGAGACCCTCTGTAGGCTATATTACAGATGATTTGTTGATTTGACAAGTTGATTTGCAGTCTAGTGTCATGATATAATCAGGCTTTGTGAACATCAGCAATGCATTTTAAACATGCAAACATCTTATTCTGGCTTCAGAAACCAGCAAATTACCTTAGCCTTATTTTGAGAAAGTAAAAACTACAACTGGAGTAAGTAAGTAGTAGTGGAAGGAACTATGGCCCTGTTCTAGGAAGCATGTTTAGTGAAAATTCAAAATTTGTAAACCCCGGAATGATGGTTTCTGTACCAGAAAGAAAGATAAGGTCATTTTTGAGTCGAAGTCATATAATGTTCATCTTTGCTGTTTTTACAGGGAATGCATCCTAAAGACAGCCAAGGCTCTGGTGGAGGACACCAAGTTGCTGGTGGCTGGTGCTGGGGCCAGTCAGGAAAGGCTGGCCCAGGCGGCCCAGTCCTCAGTGTCCACCATTACCAAACTGGCAGATGTGGTAAAACTGGGGGCAGCCAGCTTGGGTTCCGAAGACCCAGAGACCCAGGTATGGATGCATTTTTGTCTGCTTCTATACTGGCAAATATGTATGTTTGCTTCTTATGAAAAGGTACAAATATATTAGACCGCCTGCCATAATAACAAGAAAAGCATTTTAGAAATCTGTCAAAAACTTGCTTAAAACTAAGGATTGTGTTATTATTCATTAGAAAAATATTAAAGTGAATTTTTTATGGCCAAATTTGAGCCAGCGTACTGACTTTTCTGAGAAGTCAGAAGTTAATCAAACATTTAACAACTAAAACTCATTTTACTGTTTAGGAATGCAAATAAATAGCTGTAATTTGGCTTCTTAATGAGAAAAAGAAATGTTTTTATTAAAGAGCTTGTGCATCCTAGTAGATGAACCATTATGGAAACAAAAATAATTATTGTAATTACCGATACTGTTAATTTAAGGCAGCTAGGGCATAAACCTTACATTGGGTGGTGATCAAATAATTTGTTAAGCACTGTATCAGATAACAATTTAAGCTCTGTGCCCTGCTGAGTACAGGTGGTGTTGATCAATGCAGTGAAAGATGTGGCCAAAGCCCTAGGAAACCTCATCAGCGCCACAAAGGCAGCTGCAGGCAAGCCTCACGATGACCCCAGCATGCTGCAGCTTAAAAATTCTGCTAAGGTAAGATACAAAACTAGCAATCAGTTCAAGTCAGTTTTATTTGCTGACACTTTACAACAATAGACACCTTGACTTTTACGTGGTTGTAATTTTTAACAAAGCTTAAATATGTTTTTCTGGCTTGAACATTTCATTTAGCTACCTCCTATACTTTACAAGGAGTAGTTACAAGGGCTTGACACCATTTGAAAAAATAAGGCAACTTGAAATTGCCTTATAATGTGCAGGTCTGTGGTATAAAGGTACAATTTTACATGGCTACATTAAATCTGCTAAAAGTATACAAAAAAAAATAGCTGATTCTGAAAGGATCTGGTGGGAAGCACTTAGCGATTTTACACTGAATGACCAGAAGTTTTTATAAATGTGCAGTTCTATCTGTGCATTGACAGATTTGTAATGTTTTATTTTTCAGGAAATTATATTTATCATTGTCCACACATGAAATTATGGTCTAAAGCTACTGTTTCCCACATATTTATTGGCAAGCAAGTCATTGATTTTTCTTTTTACAATTTGAGAAAATATTTAAAGTTTAAAGTTTATGCTTCTAAGGACTTCAAAACATTCAGGATCTAAATACATGTCCAGATGCTGATATTGAACAGGTAGTGATATACACATATACATTTTGTTTTGGTTTAAGTTTTATAAAAGCACACAAAAAATAAAATTAATTCTAGATCCTGAAAACACATGATGATATAATGACAAATACAAACTTTTAAAAACAGTTTTATGTGTACATGCAGTTTTATTCTAGTCTAATTGCATGGAACCAAAATTGGAAAATTGAAGTATCAAGAGAGGATTTGTAATTATGTTGCAGTGAAATTCTTACCAGTACAATGAATACACGTTTAAGATTAACACACAAATCTTTTCAGTTGTTAGGATTATTTAAAAAGAGCCTTCACCAAATCCAGAGCACTTTGTACTTGGTCTGTATCCAGAAAAAAACACCCCTTCATGACCTTTTTAAATGTCAAAAACCTAAAAGCAACATCTTCTGGATGAAAAAACCCCAAAATGCTGTCCACTACAATAGAAAACAGACAGCATATGAAGAGAAGGAGAGACAAAAATATTTTCTAATATGTAACAAATATAATATATAAAATACTTTTTATTATATAGTGTATATATATTTAAATATTTCTGTTAAGTGCTACGTATTCTAAAAATCTAATTAAAATATGCTAGTGACATCTAGTTTAAAAATAATGTATCAAATATTTAAGATATTTTCATCACTCTAATGTATTACCACATAATTTGACCTGACTCCTCTAGGTGATGGTGACCAATGTAACATCGCTTCTGAAGACTGTGAAGGCTGTGGAGGATGAAGCCACCAAGGGGACGAGAGCTTTGGAGGCCACTATTGAACACATCAAACAGGAATTGGCTGTGAGTGTGGGATAAATGTTTCTTTACAGTTTAAGCCAGTTGGAAATACCCTGCCAAGGATTCAGTTAAAACACAGGAGATTCCTCCACAGGGGCCATGGCCATTTCCTAACCCCTGTTTCACAAGCCAGTGAAAAGCTTTTAGAATAAGAACCCTCATCTGCATAATATTAATATCTTCCAGTTCAAAACTTTTGAGGCAACTGCCATCTCAAAGATGTCTTATGGCAGCAAGAAGAGAGTTTTGACTAAAGGCCTTGGTGTTACATAAAATAGCTTTTGGGACCACGTGTCCTACCATGAGGTAAGTAAATTAATGCACAAGGAAAACTCACTAACATTCAACCTGGTTTTATCACACAGGTATTCAACAGTGCTGATCCTCCAGCAAAGACCACCACACCAGAAGAGTTCATCCGCATGACTAAAGGAATTACAATGGCAACAGCAAAGGCAGTGGCTGCTGGGAACTCTTGTCGTCAGGAAGACATCATTGCCACAGCTAACCTTAGCAGAAGGGCCATTGCTGAGATGCTGCATTCCTGCAAGGTACGGCAGACCATGAACTACTAAATAGTGTTTGTTCATGGGCTGCCAAACAAAGTTCAATGTGCAGTAATTAATGAGGTCTCAGAGAATAGTTTGGTAGGTATTTTTGTCATAATGACAAAAAATATATACATACAACTTAGACACTATAATATTGGCATTTCCAATATTCAGATTACATGGGACTACTTATAATCACATGCAGCTCTAGCCAGAATTACCTTTTAATATGAATAAGATATCTTTCTGCCCTTGCTATCACTGACTGACTTTTCTTACTGTTTGCCTTGCAGCAAGCTGCCTACCACCCAGAGGTCAGCAAAGACGTGCAAATGAGAGCTCTGCGCTATGGCAAAGAATGTGCTTCTGGATATCTGGGATTGCTGGAGCATGTATTGGTGGTAAGATGGAGAGCAGTGAATAACAGGAATTTTAAGCCTCTGTCATGACAGCATTTACACCACAATCACTAGTACCTTCAGCAAGGAGAAATGCATAACAAGCACCTTTTTCAGAAATTCAGTCTGAAAGAATATAAAATTACATTAATAAAAAAAGCAACATCTAGACTAAAGATGAAATAACTAGTAGATCAGTGTTCCAACATCCAGAAGAAGCAACTGCTATCACAACTAGAGATTGATGAGGTACAAAACAAATTCTACAGCAAGAGGGAGCCAAGACATCAGGTTAGGGGGGAGATTTCATCATTCCAACCCTCCAATCTCGGAGAGAGCGCTAATGGATGAGGCACGAGAATGGCTAACTAACTAAATGAAGAGGTTTTATCATAAATTCAATGGGGATGAGGTGAACAGCACTAGAGACCAACTTCATGCCAATAACACAAGTATGGTATTTACTGAGGAGTTGCTCTGTCCCCACTGCTGTTCTGCATAAGCCTAAACCCCCTGAATGAGATCATTCATGGGACTGGCTATGGATGCCAACTACAGAATGGCGCAATTATGACTCATCACTTCTACATGGATGACATGAAGCTGTATGCCAAAGTGAATGAGACATCCACTTACTGCTAGGATTTACAGCAATGACATTGGAATGTCATTCGGACTGGACAAGTGCAATTGGATGGTAACAAGGAGAAGGAATGTAGTCAGAACTAAGCGGATTGCACTACCAGAAGGAGACTTTTCAGACATTGAGGACAGCTGTACCTCAGGAGAGAAATCTTCTGATCGGAAGGTTCGTGCTTTGGTCCTTGGCTGCTGCAGTCTGCATGCCAAATATCCTTTGGCAAGACACTCTCTGGTGAATCCATGAATCCATCAAAGTAAATATGCGTGTGAATTTTGGATAGAAAGCATTTTCTCAGGAAAAAAAGAGAAAAACATACTTATATAAATGGATGTGAATGGGTAAATGAGGCAAGTTGTATAAAGCAATTTGAGTGCTCAGGTAGAGTAGAAAAGAGCTATATAAAAACTAGTCCACAGCTTCAGATAGAACCTGGGTATCCCACAGGCAAATGGGAACCACGAAGAGGCCGCTAGGAAAGCTGCAACCACCAAATACCTGCAAAGAGTAAGGCAAGCCCTGAGGAGTCAGCTGAATAGGAAGAACAAAATCTGAGCAATCGACACCTATGCCCTGCTGGTTGTCAGATACCCTGCTGGAATTATAATATGGCCAAAGGAGTAGATAGAAGCCACTGACATCAAGACAAAACCCTCCATGCGTATAGGGTTTATCCCAAGTCCTGCAACCTGACACTGTACGCTAAGGGGAAGGAAGGAGGCTCATGACTTGAGTGTCAGAACCACTATCTAGGATGGCACAACATAGATCCCTGAGTATATCGGGAAGTTAGTCTAGTCTTGCTACACAACACAGTATAACTGAAAAAATGTAAACATACAGAAATAAAGTCGCATCTTGAATTTGAATAAAGAGCACAGAATTGTAATTTTACACTTTTTTTTGTTTTAATTTTATGCATGTTTTCATCTATCCGCTCTGCTCTTATTGCCCCTGTACTTGATGTTCATCCAGATTTGTAGTTGAACTTTACTAAAAGGTGATATGATACAGGCTCATTACTGCCTTACTAGATAGTAAAGCTTAGATATTTGACTCAAAGGAGAGTGGCGTACGGTGCAATGTAATATCATCTACTTTGATTATCTTAGCATTAGTTTAGTACAGGCTGGGATTTGATTAATTCAAGTACATGCAGTAATAAAGTTTGTGACTTTCTTCCTTTATACACAGATCATCATGAAGCCATCTCATGATCTGAAGCAGCAGTTGGCCAGCTACTCCAAGCAGGTGGCAGGCTCCGTCACTGAGCTTATCCAGGCTGCTGAGGCCATGAAAGGTATCTAAATCTTTGATCTTTAACAACTTTGCCTGAAGTTAAAGGATTAATATATAGCACTGTTTTTTTTCTACTGTTCTGTAAAGCGCTATACAAATCCAAGTTTTTAATTGTCATTATTATTATTATTATCATCATCATCATTATTAGACACTAGATGGTATAAGATCAGGTAGTATTGATTTAGTCACTGTCTGTGTCAATAGGGAGTGTCAAATAGGAAACCTGTGTGGCATCCTATAGCCTCAATTTGCTACATGCCACCTAGGTAAACACTGCTACTAACTAGGTAAACCCCTTTTTGCCCATAGGATTCTAGGTTGGGGTTGATGGAAGAGTTTAAAATGTGTTTTTGAGCACAGAGTGACAGTACTCTTTTTTTCCCCCCGTGTCTTTTAGGCACAGAGTGGGTGGACCCTGAGGATCCCACTGTCATTGCAGAGAATGAACTGCTGGGAGCAGCAGCAGCTATTGAAGCTGCTGCCAAGAAACTGGAGCAGCTGAGGCCGAGGACTAAGCCCAAGGTCAGAGGGTTTTTTACAGAGCACAAGTATTCACACTGATCCTGTTAACCTCAACACCAGGTCACAGTCATTTTGTGTGTCACATCTCTTATGTGCTGACATCTACTCACAACACAGATAATGGCAGCACCACAAAGCTTATTCTTGACGCTCTTAATACTTTTCATACTTATTAATTTATTCTCCAAACCAATATTTCCTGTAGACAAGCCCTATTCATTTTTTGTCTGAATATTTTTGTCTCAGCCTCTTTTTATTTATTCTTGCTGTCTTACTATTTATATTTAATTCCTGCACAGCTAGCGTGGGGAATCCATAGTTTCATTGTGCATGTACAATGACAATAAAGAGCTAGTCTGTTCTATTCTACAGTTAATCATAGTGCAGCATTTTTCTTTACTATTGGTTTGTTCTCTAAAACAGGAGGCCGATGAGAGCTTGAACTTTGAGGAGCAGATTCTGGAGGCAGCCAAGTCTATTGCAGCTGCCACCAGTGCTCTGGTAAAAGCTGCTTCAGCAGCACAGAGGGAGCTGGTGGCTCAAGGGAAGGTATGTGAGAACCAACAAAAGAACTGATATGTGCATTTAAACATAAGCGAAATCCCACAAATAAAGCTAATAATCATTTCTATCAAGGAGTTTAGTAACATTCATTCATAAATGTCATTTTGATGTCCGTCAAAAATAATTATCCTGGATTTTCAGGTGGGGGCAATCCCAGCTAATGCTGTAGATGATGGACAGTGGTCTCAGGGGCTCATTTCAGCTGTAAGTCTCCTGTTATAATTTTGTAATTTTTTTAAAGGTATTCCTAAAACATCTAACCACTGAGAACTTTGACTCCATAGGCTCGAATGGTCGCTGCAGCAACCAACAACCTGTGTGAGGCAGCAAACTCTGCAGTACAGGGACATGCCAGTGAAGAGAAGCTCATCTCATCAGCAAAGCAGGTGGCAGCCTCCACTGCTCAGCTGCTGGTAGCCTGCAAGGTCAAGGCTGACCAGGACTCACAGACCATGAAGAGGCTCCAGGTCAGCACTGCATGTTAATTTTGCTCAAGGCGCAAAAACACAGGAGAGCTACTATTACTTCTGTTACTGTGCCACTTTAAAAGGCCTTATTTGGCTAGATGCTGAGGTCAAAGTCACAACTGTCAAGAAGAGACAGAGTGTGTAGCCAGCCCGATAAATGAACATAAACAAAAGGACAAGGAAAGATGGCAAAAGACTGGCGGTAGTATTTAATACTGTCCAAGGTCAGTTTCACATTTTGTTTGTTCTGCATGAAAAAAAAAAACATTATTTATAACACACTTAACACAACTGGAGAGGTAAACATGACGTCATGGGTTATTATGGACAGTAACTCAGGAAGCGGGAACCCAGACAAAAGTGGTGCACAATGGTGAAAAGATGTTTCAATCGTGGCAGTTCCTTAAAGCTGTGCAGCCTTTGAACCATGTGTGAAATGACCCATTTAGCCAGACCCCTAACAGATGCATTGCAAAGCTAAGTGACATATTAAAATAGATGTAGCTGTGGTAGCATTTTAAGAGAAATAGCTATGTAGTGGTAAATGGCCTGTATTTATATAGCGCTTTACTAGTCCCTAAGGACCCCAAAGCGCTTTACATATCCAGTCATCCGCCCATTCACACACTGGTGATGGCAAGCTACTTTGTAGCCACAGCCACCCTGGGGCGCACTGACAGAGGCGAGGCTGCCGGACACTGCCGCCACCGGGCCCTCTGACCACCACCAGTAGGCAACGGGTGAAGTGTCTTGCCCAAGGACACAACGACCGAGACTGTCCAAGCCGGGGCTCGAACCGGCAACCTTCCGATTACAAGGCGAACGCCCAACTCTTGAGCCACGATCGCCCTTGTAAATATGTAGATCACTACATATTTACAAGGATATCACTGAATTGTTTGTATTGAGTTTGTTTTAGCTTGAGCCATTTTCTCAAGACTGAAAAGCAAAGAGTTAGGTCCAAAATTAGATCTGACATGGGCAAATTCACCGTGAGATGTGTGCTCGTCATCTCTACTTATGATTCCAACACTACAGTTCTACTGAAGGGACAATAACATTAGTCATTCTGCAACAGCTGAGGCTTTTAGAGAGCACACAGTATATTATAGTGTATTAATAGGCTGGAATTTCAAAGTTTAGGGTTACAGGTGAGCTGCGTGATTTGTACAGCTGCTAACAAGGATTAGCATGCTCTATATTTGGCACAAGTAAGAATGCCCTTTGCATATTGCTTTCTTTCAGTATTTATTAAATGCTGCTCAGAGATGTATTTCTTTCTGTGACATCATTGGGTATATAATTTCAGAATGGGCAAAGCTCCTGCAGAGTCGGTGTTTAAGGCTCAGAAATTGGTTATATAATGATAGTAAAGCATTTTCACAGGTTTGGTATAACAAATTAGTGACTCTTTAAAAAGATGTAAAACCTTTTTCTTCTTGCTCAAACTCTGCTCAAAAGAGTTGTTATGACCTTTTAGGTGTAACTGATGCTCGGCAGTTGCAAGACATAACAGAAAGTACAAGTATTTCCTGTCACTTCATCCACCCAAAAATACTATCTTTGAGTGTAGCTGTGAGCACATCGGCCTGCCAGCCCAACTCATATTCTCTGATCCAATCAGCAGTGGCTTATCTCCTCCTCTTTTGGACCTGCAGCTGCCACCACAGTAATTCTCATACATTTATGTCTACAAGAGCTCTGGAAACAATCTACCCAGTCCACACATAGCACTAAGAACTGGAAATATTAGCCTTGATCTATGATTACACTAGAACCATTTGCTCTTAGCTATATTCTGTATTAATGGTTCCTCTATTAAATGTTTGAATATTTCTGGAAAGAAGGATTTTTGAACTCTTTTTTTTATTGCAGCCAGTAGTTTGTGGATAACACAGTTAATATTTTATGTTATACCACCTACAAAAATCTAATATTTCATATTAATTAATTTATAAGAAGAATCCTCGCAATCATATGCCACAATAACATTTTCTGTTAGCAAATGAATAAAAAGTCACACAACATAATGTCCATTGATGCTGTCTGCAATGTTGCCTTCTTGTAGTTCAGTCTTCTCAGTTTTGACTGCTTTACCTCTGGCATCACAGAGCACTTCTCCTGTCCGAATGACATTCCGATGTCATTGCTGTAGATCCTAGCAGTATGGATCAGTGAGTCCATGTAGAGGTGTCTAATGATTCTGTAATTTTAAAGCAAGTTCCAACTTGACCACCTCAGAATTAGATGAACAAAAATGAGCTGTGTTAATAATAAAAATATATTTTTAGTTTCAGGTACTATAGTTACTAGGCTTAAATGTTGTGCTTTTTAATTTACCTTTGTTTTTCTGTCATTTGGACATCAGCACAATGTAAACTGCACATCAAGCACTTGGAACTGCCTAATGTAGCCATGTTTTTACACTAGCAAATATAGCTTACGGCTGTAACATTGAGAGACGTTGTTCTATTGGCTTGTGTTGTTGTTGTAGTGCCACTCAGGCTGTTAAAGTTGCGAACATTTCACCACAGCACTCGTTTCCATTGTCCATTTGCACTACATCACCTGCAGAGGAGGCATACAATAATTGCTCAATTGGTCATGATAATTTGCATATTAATGATCAAGGAACTGACCTCACAATCCATTGTTCATTAAGTGGGCTAGTTTAATTTATTGTGCAAAGGTACTGTTTATAAGGTTGGGGAAACCTGCAGTCAGCTGAGACTGAAGAAGTCACTTGGATGATTCCGAAACATTTCTCCCACTGAAAACGTTACGTCTAGATGAACAGAAACTTTTTTCTTTTTTTTTGGTTTTCTTACTATGCTTATGCTCCCCATTTGGGAGGATGTAATTTCAAAAGGTGGGCTCTGTGTGAAGGTACTGAAAGTGCATCAGTGCAGTGGAAATTGTAACTGCATGCCTCCAACCAAACTCATTAGCCAAGGCCACAGGCCACGTACCTTAAAGCTTTCGAGATTTATCTTCATGTCTTTAAGGCTAAGGTTTGGGAGTGACATGTGTTGCACCTCATTCTTCTCCTTAAGGTAACAGAATTCATAGACATAATATTTTGCTTCATGCATTGTGCCTACATGATGATATATGATATTTAGACAATCAGGGAGGGAAAAGGGCTCCAAGAGAAATTTTCTGTCTGTGTGGAAGTGGATGTTCCTGGATTCAAACAGATTTACTGTGTTGTTATTTAATTATTTTTTCTCGTCTCAGCCCACTGGCTGATTCAGCCCACTGAGCCTCAAAAGGAGAAACCTTGTCTTCATTGAGCCAAGTTGCCCAATAAGAATTGTTTGGCTTTGACTGATGTTTGGGACTGATCCTTGTTGCCTTTTATAGCTTTCCTCCTGTGTCAAGAACAAAACAACTGTTATGGTTTTCTGTCAGAGCCCAGTTGGACTCATTACTGCCTTTCCAGGAGTTGCTGTTTAGTAGAGAAAGGTTGATGACTGTGTTCTACATGCACCTCAAAGACTCAAATCATAGACCATTGGTTAGACATACTGAGTGTCTTTTATACATTCCTTTTGTAATGTTTTCCATCTTTACTCAAGTTTAAAGCCTTTAAGTTGTGATTTGACTTGAAATCTTGTGTGCGTTTCTGCAGGCTGCTGGAAATGCTGTGAAAAGAGCCTCTGATAATCTGGTGAAAGCAGCACAAAAAGCAGCATTTGAAGAACAAGACGACCAGGCTGTGGTGGTCAAGAGTAAGATGGTGGGAGGTATTGCTCAGGTAAGTTAGAGATCCGAAGCACATGTTCTACATGTAACTTTGCCTTCAGTCTCATTGTGTGTTGTAAACTCATTTGTGTTACATTTCTATAATCGTGATAAAGCACTGTCTCATGTGTATGTGTGACTGTGAAGTGTAACAGCTGGGTAGCTCAGCAGGATAGGACTGAATTAGAAAAAGGGAAACTGGAAGTACTGACCCAGGATGGGCATGTGGCTCAGCTGTACGCACCGCTGTTTTATAGGAAGAAAGGTCAAGTTCACATCTTTTGTATAGGTTAGGACTTAAGTGTGCGGAGGTCTGGATTGGGATCTGTTCATCTGACTTAAGTTCAGTTTCATGTGTGTGATTGTGAAACAAGTGTTTCTTAAGTGTGGTGACATGGTGACCAATTGTGTTGTGTTGTAGATCATTGCCGCTCAGGAGGAGATGCTACGGAAAGAAAGGGAATTGGAGGAAGCCAGGAAGAAGTTGGCCATGATCAGACAACAGCAGTACAAATTCCTCCCGTCAGAACTGCGGGAAGATGGCCAGGAACAGTGAGAGAATAAGTGTGCGTCTGTAGCAGCATGCAGTGTCGTCAGCAGAAGTCATCTTTGGAATGATAAGAACCTGTTCTCAGCTCATCTTTAAGTGGAGAAAACTATAACATATAACTATAACTGTAACATTAAACAATCTGACTTCAATTCCACAGCAAACTGTTTCACATTTAGTTTCAAAAGTTAACAATGACGTCCGTAACGCTGATTAAGGTATCTGTACTTTTGATTATATGGTTACACACCTATCAGTATATTTTTCTCTATTTTGAATTCTTTTTTTTTTCATCTTTGTGTGTACATGCTGTGTAAAATGGCAGTCACGCCATTAAATTATACTTGCCTTAACTGTCCTAGATATAGATATCTTATATAGGCAAGCAGAATTAATGCTTCCATGACAATTATGCAGAATCTATGCAAATTTTATATGCCGTGTGTGCGTGCGTGTGTGTGCTGGTATGCGTGTGTGTGTGTTTACAGACACAAAGTGCCTTGATGTATAGGAGTTCATTGTGAAAAAGAGATCTGTGGTTGTATGACAGTAATGATATTCAATATGTTAATTGACGTACTGGTTAAACTTAATATATAAAATTACACATTTTAAATCTAAATTGGGATAAAATAATTATACAGTGGAAAAAATCATAGTGTTTTTTTACAACCTTCAGAATATGTTAAAAGGATATCCTCCAGTACATTGCTATGTTTTTCTGTGTGGGTTTTTGGATTTAACCATCTTCAGTATTTAGCCAGAAATCAGACTAGAGGACTCATTTGTGTTCAAATAATGAAGCCATATATTTAATTTTTAAATATTTGAGATTGTTGCAAAGAGTCCAGCACTGTCAGGATTTCTTTAAACAAATAAAGTGTTTTAAATTTATACCTTTATGTATTATGTACCAGGGACATGGGATCAGCTGTAAGTTTATACTTGTATCCTAAGTTTTTAGTACTTTCTATGTAACATGACTTGTGCTTGATGAGGGTCTAGTAGAGAAAAATTATGAATATATTTTTGCAATTACACAGTGAAAGTGTATTTGCAACAGGAATATTTGACATTAAATTGACTGTATTTGGATTCTTAGTGGTTATTGACTTGCTCCTATGATATGTTATTTGTGGGATTTTTCTAAAGAATTCCTACAACTGAAAAGGAAATGATCTGAGGTATATATTGGCATTTTATATGGATGAACACAAAAATAGATTATAAGATAATGATTAAAATCTGCCCTTACGTTGGCCTTTTTTTCTTTTGCATATTATTTGCATATTATTTTTAGGATAGCTAGAGCAGTATGCAGTATAACATACAAAGGCTTTTTAAAATTTTGTGCACATTTTGACTAATTATAATGCTCATTCACAATAGTACCGATGATGGACACTGTAACTGTGATTTATATTCAATAAAGACAGTGTTTAAAGAGATGTTGACATCTGTTGTTTAACAGTTTGTTTGTCCCAACATAGATATCATGTCCCTAAAAGGTGAAAACTCAGTGTTACACAGTGGAGAATCTATAACACAGCTTGCATTATTTTCAATAAATATATTTAAACAAAATGTGTTTGGAACTATATTCTCTATTTATTCTTTCCCCTCGCCCTCAACCAGTCAGAGACTGCTTATGCTACATCTGCTTTTCCTGTTAAAACTTCTTCCCTTCATCCTCCCTACCATTGCCCAGTGCTTGTTTAAAGGGCTTCTTTACATTACAATACAAAACACCTTTAGACAATTGTCGTGAACTGAAACTACAAAGTAAATAAAGCTGAACTAAATGGATATTAGCCACATGTCTCACTAGTTACCTTATTGCCTCTAAATAGCAGTAGTGATTGTATAGCTCGCAAACCTGTATCTTGTAGAGACTAACACATTGTTAAATCGTCTCACTTTAACTGAAATCATCACACCCCACTGCACTACAAAGCCCTTGTGGGGACTTTCTCAACTCTGATTTGAAAGTAGGACCTCCTCATTTATACAGATAAGTAGAAATGGAGACTCAATAAAAATAAATGCTTTGGTTTAGCTACCAGTTTTCCCAGATTATAGGTATGTTATGTCTTACACTATAACTGTGTCCTTCTGTTTACGCGGTATAGACTTTCTCTCTTTGTGTTTTAACTTTCAATTTTGGATTTTTATGTTTTCAGTATGTACATCTTCACATATGACCCAGTCAGTTGTGGGTTGTTTTTTTTTTGTTTGTTTTAATTCAACGCCTTTAATATTTTAATTGGTAATTTTCGGATTGGTACTACTTTTTTCATCTCTAAACGTTTTAGATCAGTGATTTGCTCTGTTACCTTTGCTGATGTCCCAGTGGTCGGGGATAGTCTTGATTTATTCTCACATACTGAACACACACGTCAGACAGCCTGCACAGCTTTCAGTGCCTAAACATGGTCAACGAATCGTACGGATCCAAAGTGGGAGAAAAAGAGGAGTGCGTGGGCTCGTACTGCTGTCATGCCATCCTCTCTTGCTCTCTTGAACAGCTTCACAGAGACCCTCCTGTTCTCCTGTCACGGACCGTTGCCTGTGTCTGTCCCGAAAGCTGGGTGCAGTTCTCTTTCTGTTTAGCTCACAGACACTGAAGAAACATGGAGGCCATCAAGAAGAAAATGCAGATGCTGAAGCTGGATAAGGAGAACGCTATAGACCGGGCAGAACAGTCTGAAATAGACAAAAAAGGAGCAGAGGACAAATGCAAACAGGTAAAGGAAGGAGCTACGCTGCACCTCACAGGCAACTCGTTGAACACGTTTAAACGTTTCAACGTAAACATAATGAAGGAAAAGTTATGAAATAAATACCTTAAAATACACACAGAACTATATAAAATAATTTAGAAGAAGTGCTGAAAAGCAAAACCCGACTAAGTTGTAAATGGGCGAAAGGTCTGACGTGAAATGCACCTCCATACCAGTTGATGTTGATATCGTCCTGTTAGCATTTACCCGCACCGCACATACATAATCCAATATGTAAAATGTACTGCAGCTTTTGGCTGCTAAAGTTGATTTTTCTTATCACTGTTTGATGTATACTGCTGACACTTCTCATTCAGGATATTCTTTGCTTGTGGCTTTATGTTTTGGCATTTAACGTCAATGTTTGGCACTGTCCATAAAAAAACGAGTCTAAGACACTTTTTGCTCTTTTATTTCACTTTTTTTCTATTTAGTTGTGCTCCCCTTTCTTTTCTTTTACTTTTTTGAGTGATTTTGTTTTCCAGTATTGTATTTATTTTATTGAGCTCTTGTATTTCAATTTGATATAGGTTCTGTTTAATGTTTCGGCTGCTGTGACACAATAATTTTCCAAATGTAGAGATAGTTAAAGTATATCCTGTATTATCTTTATTTTCACTTGAAACTTGATATTTACATAGGTATACTTTATGTTTATTTAAAATCGGGGAAAAGTGCACAAATATTATAACCAAAATGCATTTTAAATTTCCAAAGTGAGAGTATTTCTTATATGCTAAAATTATTCCGTGATGGATACTTTTAAAGGGTCTCTGCTTATATCGGATATCACTGACAAAAGCTGCTTGTTCTGTAATTTAACCTGATCATATACAGTTCAGCTCAGTCAGTGACAAGATCAATCTCTCAGGTTTGAAAAGACGATTATATAATATGATATGCAGTTAAATGTATTTATATATAACTACAAAACTAAACATGACAAGTAACTACAAAAGCAAATACAAAATGTCTCTCTTTTTTTGTTCAAAAAAGTATAGTGAAATACTTTGATATGTTTCAGACTTTTTTTAAATTTTTAATCTGATGATTAAGGTTTAGGAAAATCAGAAATCCAGCATCAAATTATTAGAGTATTATTTTAAATCAATACAGAAACATTCAGCTTCTGAAATGTATGTTCCTGGTTGGGACTTCTTCACAACAAGTTACTGTATGAGTGCAGTACATAGAGGCAATCAGCTTTGATAGATTTGATGGTGGCCTTTAGCTTGTCTGTGTTTTTAGCTTTTGTGTTACTCATCTCTTCCTGTTGACAATACCCCACAAATTGTTTATGAGGTTCAGGTCAGGTTGGTTGGCAGCTATTTCAGTACTATAATAACATGGACAGCAAACCATCTTGTAGGAGTTTTGGCATTGTGGACATGTGTTAATAAGGAAATCAGTATTTTCGTAATGCTTGCCAACAGATAGAAGCACAAGGTTTTCTAAAATCTCCTGGTGGACTTCTGAGTTGACTCTGGACTACAACAAAGTGGACCAATCATTACAATCGCAACTTCGCACTAGACTTTAAGACCTTGGGTTATGTGCCTCTCTACTCTCAATGCAACATTTATTTGCATCTGAAAAAGAGAACTTTGGACCATTAAGCAAAAGTCCATTTCCCCCCTCTTTATCCCAAGTTAAACGCTTCTGATGCTCTCCCAAGTTCTTGAATCAACTTTTCTTGAAAATCTTCTTGAGATTGAAGTCATACCTCTTGCTCATGACTTTTTCCTACCACACTTTTCCATACCTGACAACTTTCCATTGATATCTTTGAGACTGTTGTGCTGAAATGAACTGAATGAAATAGTTATTTTTTCTTGAGAAGGGCACATCAAATTATGGCATAAGTTAGCACAGTGTATCAGAAGTGTTTGCAGTAGTAATATTTAAGGCATAGCTTTAACACCAAACTGGAATTTAACTGTCAAGCTTCAGTGACAGAGCATTAAGGCCCATCAGTGTCCATTCTATTTCTTTCTTCTTCTTCTTCTTTTGTAGATTCAATTAAAGCAAGGAGAACAGATGATGTTTTTCTGACAGCCTGCTAGTAGCAAAGTTCCTAAAGATATACATGTAAACTGGTTCTTTGATAAGTTGTCTGTTATGTGTAGACGGAACACTTAGTCATAAGTGGCTTAAAAACAACAACAACAAAGAAAAGTCATTGAAAATGGTCATTTACAAGGACTGAACTGAAAGTGACTGAAATGCACCAAAAGCAGTCTGGCTTTCTGGAAATCAACAGCTGCAACGTTGAAGCGATATACACATCAACAATTATGATTATGAATTATGCTATCAGCCAGATTTAGATCTGACCCATCTATGTCAAAATTATGTCTAAACAATAAATATATCAATTGATTTTCATCTTAAAATTTGAAAACTGACTTATGTACCTGCAACCTGCTATAATTTCATAAGAATCAGAATACTGTTCATTTTAAATGTCTGAAAAGGAATGTTTGTTGGATAACATGATTATGTTCTCTATGTACATTGTACAAAACATTTTTAGACTACAGAATGTTTAAAACCAAAATAATATACCACACCAGTATTTAAGCACCACCACCAATATTTAAGATCCCATTCTGTGGTCCCAGTTAAGATCAACTGACACAAGATGTGAGTGGGCGTTAAGGCACCTGGGAAGGGAAAAACTGGATTATAGGTGACAGACAGTGGGTGTCACAAGCCACCACCTCTGTTCAAGGATGGTCGTTCACAGTGGACATAGATTGTTGGTGTATTGAAAACCAAACCCCAGCAATCAGACAATCCCTTATTACCAAACAATTGAGAGTGGGAAGGAAAAACTCCTTTTAAACAGAAAGAAATCTCCAGCAGAACCAAACTCAGGTTCTGCCATCTTCCATGAGCTTTTGGGGGATGAAAGAAAGGAGAAGAGAAAAATAACTATGGGAGGCAAAGAAGTACTTATTGCATAACTAAAGAATGATTCACTATCACCTAATTCATCCCTAACTATATGCTTTATCAAAAAGGAAACTCTGAAGTAATCTTAAAAGTACAGAGGTGGTTCCACAGGAGAGGGGCCTGATACCTGAATGCTCTGCTTCTTATTTCCCTTTCAGAATACACGAGTAAGCCAGTAGCTCACAAAAAATCAGTTTACTCAGTCTACATGTGATTCCACTATTTTCTATTCAAAACTGACTGCTTTTTCTAACTCTTGAACACATGAGAAAATATTCATAATTTATTGTTTTGAGAAACATCTGACAACGCAGTGAAATTCCTGTATGGCTTATAGTCTCTCTGGTGTAGTTCTATTGTGTATTTTCTCAAGATCACATAGCAATCTGTTAACATTCAACTATGCACCAGCTATCATAGAAATTATTCCCAGGGGATACCAGCTTGCTATCACCATCAGCTCTACCTAGAACCAATGAACATTTCCATTTATATTTCTACATCTAAGTAACTCACCTTTGAATTGTCACAGTTTTTAAGAGTCTGTCAAGGCCGTTGTCTTGGTTACCACTATGACAGGAACTATAGGACTGCCAAATGCTATATGTGAGTATCAGGCCTTAGATGGCTGTGAGAGGCTGTCAGAAGAGATATTTAAAGCACATTTGTACTAGGAACACTGTTGTCAGGCCACATCACTGTCATTTGCAACT